AGATAAATTCAAGACCTAAACTACAACCTTTCTACCAAGTATGAAAAGTTATCCTTTTAACATGAAATATGTGTATTTCTGTTATAAGCTGAATCACATGTTTATAGGCTTCTGATTAAAATGATTATTTCAGGACCAAGTACATGTTTCAAAATATACTATGCAGAGCTTAATATGGTATACCTGAATTTTTCTTAATTTGACAAAAATGGACAGAAGGCAAAATGAAAAAAAATTTATTTCCGCAGTGTTTTATCCACTGTCAATACTGTATTTTTGATGCAATATATTTGCAAAGAAAAAAAACAATCTCAGCTTTTATTTTCCATTTTAAACAACTACAATATTTACAAGCTATTTAGAATAACAAACACTCAGACGCACACACACTCACGGACCCACGCAAGTACACATATTCTTATCTCTGGTTTATACTGAATGCTGGTAAAGGCAATGAATGCTTTCAGAGCCCATGATCAGAAAAGGGAAACCCATTTTCCATCCTCACACAGATCCTCCTGAACCACTGTTAGTCTTCTTCCTTCCATTTCCTCATGCAGAGCTCATTGTATAGGCTTAATCAGTTTTTACAATTTATTTTTACTTAAACTATAAGCTTTAAAAAGCATAAGCAGACATGATTTCCCCCACAGTTCTGTTATTTTGGTTGCAGAATCAAGCTTCACGTATTAAAAAATCTTGTTTAACCACAGTCACACTAATCCCAAGAGTCATCTGGAGCAGCCATCTCATTTTCTACCTGCTACTCTGTTTGGAATCCCAGGGCACCACGTCACCTGTGAGAGCAACACCCAGGCATCCAACCTTCCCACCATCTTACATGACTGTTGTTCCTTCTAACGTGGCTCCACCGAATCATAAATTGTCAGGTGCAGAGCTGAGGCATAAGAAAAGGTTCTGACCCTATATAATAGGCATAAGTCTTACGACAGAGTTGTCATGTAACCTCGCGATGACAATCGGTTCTCGTTCCCCCAAAGAATGTTGTGTTGCTTCCATAAAATGGCAAATATTAAAGTCTAGCTCGCAAACAGAACTTATCTACTCTACTTCAGAAAGAACATGTGGCTGATAGGCAGTAAGGAGAAATTCTTATCATACATATTTCTTGACAGATGACTCTGCTGAGGTGATTCAAAGCAGAAAATATACTTGTTTCAAGCAAAATTAATGCTCCACTCACATACCTATCAGATCTATTTGTATAATAATTAATTCCTTTCCAGTCACAGTTCTTACCTAAACATTTCACAAGTTAAAAATGAGAAGGCCTAGGTGTATACCAACCAGATTTTTTCAATAGAGAAATGAAGAAGTGAGAGGCTGGTTTTTAAATACTTAGTTAAGAACCCCTACAGATAACCAATATGATATTAAAACTTATGCTGCACAAATACATGGTCCTATCTGATTTTCCTCTTTCTCTAAATCAATAAAACTCAATTTCCACATGACACTGAAACCAAAAGTTCATAGGCCATTTACAGGTTCCAAGTACCATTTTAGCCTTGATTGACATTCTTTTTCCACTCATTTTAGAATTACAAGAAAAGCCTCTGGAATAAAAATTGATTTTGTAAACCTTATCTGAACAATTTATCATATCAAATGAAAATGGACTGGGTCTGTGTCCAGGTAAAGTAAGTTTGCGTGATTTTATTACACTACAGAAAAGAATAAGAATGAAGCCTGAGGGCTTAAACAAAAGGGTGGGGGATTGTCTATATTAATGAAAGAATAAGGAAGATAAACAAAAAGTAATTAATGTGGGCAGCAGTTAGTAGTTTAATAGCTAATAAACATAAATCCAAAGACTTCTCAAGCAAAATTACTAAGGTATCTTTTTCTCAAGTCATTTATTTAGGAGGAAAGATTTTTGAAAGTTAACTAAAAGAAGAAGATAATTTTAGACCCTGGGCAAATCATAAGTTGAAAGACCTTTTTCTGGATGAGGGACTCAGTGCAGCCATCCGCCAAATGAAGAGTCTCTAAGCACAGGCCGAAGGATGCTGCTCAGAAGCAAAGGGGAATTTATTAAGGCTAAGCTACCCTTGCTTAGATCACAGGCTGGTTTTTTTTATATTTTGTTAGAAGATAGAAAAATAAAGCAACTCAGGAAGAAAAACACATCTTCCTAACGAGCTTAGTCTCTACATAAAAACCTGCTATTTTCATTGCCTGACATTTGGTACACAGAGTAATTTCCCACACCTTACTTAGGAGAGAAACATTGACTATCTCTGTTTCAAGGATTAGTAGAAGTATCTCAGATATACTTGGAATATTTTTAAAACTACTTCAAATCTAATGGAAGCTCATCTTCCTATAATAGAAACTCAAAGAATGCAGAATACTGATGAAGTCTGTTCATTAATTTCCTGAAAGGTAATTAATTTCCTCTTACCTTAAAAATATACAGCCTCACCACCTACTCTCCCAAGCCCCTTAAATATCAACAGCTTATATGAATCTAGACTCTTGGAAAATTAAGAATACTTTAGAAAAAAGTGAACATTTAAAGTTTTATCAAGTATTGAAAGTGGTGCAAAAAGAGGGCTCACACCAAAGTTATATGCTAGAAGATTAACTAAAAGCTTAATTTTGAGTTATAAAGTGATTTTTGCCACTGAATGAAAAGAAATAAGAAAAAAAAAGCTAACAATTTATAATCTACTCCAGGACTCTCTCTCAAAAGAAGGAAAAAACAAAATCAAACAAGAAAAAGACGAGAGAGATACCAATGAAACTCTGTTTAAGAGAAATGCGTAAAAAGCTAGTATTTTAATTCCATATTTTTATTTTCAAATTATGAAACTCTGAAAGTTTTGGCAATTATGAACTAAAAACACTAGTGTATGTATACTCGAGTCTTCCACACTAAATGAAGAAAGTTAATCGGGGAATCTTAACAAACAGCTCACTGCTCTCCAAGGTCGGGTGGGAGGGAGAATAAGACAGTATGATCAATTACTTAGTGGAAGCATGTATATTTGTATGTAATCATTCAGGTCCAATTATTGTTAAGAACCTTTCCTTCAATTATCACTGCTTCCTCTGATATAATTATTAGAAAAGTATTTTGACTTTCAAAAGACTATCAGTTTTAGACTTAAAAAAATAAGAACAGGGCTCCTGTTAGGGGTTCCTAATTGGTAAATTCACTAAAGGGCTGATAATAAAATTCTATTTGCTTTGAGATGAATGTCCATAGGTGCTACCCCAAATCAAGACGCAATATATATGTTTTGTATAAAATCTAGTCTTGCATTTTTAGAGTATGCAACATGTTTAACAATTGGGGGTAGGAGGTTAGGAATACAAATAATTCTAACTCTTCTGACTGAATCACCTGAAGCTTAGATATTCTTTCCCCCGTGTAGGAAAATGAATTATCTTCCATTTAAGACTGAAAGGGCTCCACTTATCTTCCCATTTAGGTAATGGCCACGAAAGGATCATATTCATTTCAGAAAGAGAATAAGCAGCGGGAATCATAACTCCTTTGAGAATATCTTAAATAAATAGAGATGGTTAGACAGATCACATATATTCAGTTTCAGAAGAAAAAAAAAAATAACAGCCTGAACCTTAATGACGTGCTGCAGATTTGCCAAAATGAGGCAAATACGGAATACAGAATGTCACGACAGTATCAGGAAAGTTCATTTTAATTGGTCAATTTAGCAAAGGTACCCTTTGTGCAAAGGTTCAGGAAATCACTCAACAGATGTTTTTAAACAGTAAATTTTGCGAAGTGTGAAGTATGGAAACATCAGCACGAGGCACAGTGGGTTCTGAATTACCACAAAAATTTTTAATTAGAGAAGGGCCTAATAGATGAAAATGCAGTCAGGTGGTGTATTCTTAGCTACTGATTTCCTCAGTTTTCCTCCCTTCTACTGAAGTGTTAGGCTGCACCGCAGGAGCAACAGCAGGGAGCGAGGAGGGAGACAGTTCCCCTCTCCTGTCACCTCCTCAAAAGACACTTGAAGCCTGTGTCGTCCGATGTGGGAGCCACCAGGCACATGTGGCCAGTGCGTACTGGAAATCTGGCTAGTGCCACGTGCTGAACGACGAACACTTCGCGCGCACTGGATCCGCTAAACTGTATGATTAAAATCAATTTCACCTGCTTCTTTTCACCTCCCACTCACAGCGGGGTAGAAAGATGGCTGCTCCTGAATGCTCAGACGAGACACAGAGTCGTCTTTGGAGTTTCACCCAAAAGGGGAAAGTTTTTTGGACGCTCTAAAAAATGCCAAATGTTGGAAGTTAAATCTAAACTGCAGTTTCCACCCAGCCCGATTGTAAATCTGAATTATATATTTCCCTGAATACACATTTTTTTAAAAAAAAACAATAAAATTTATGAGACAACATATTAAGTCAATTTCACAGTTATAAATATCTCAAATTACACCTACATACTATAAATTACAGGAAATAAAATTCAAGTAATAGAAAAAGAAGACAGGAGCAAAATAAAAGGCAAGGTTATTTAGAGAGGGATATAACAATCAACTGCACCATTTGGAGAACTTCGCTTGAAAAAATTTTACTTGATTAACTGAACTGCATGTGAGTCCCTTCAAGAGCTAATACCTCTTAAAAGAAAAGCAATCAATTCTTTCTTTAAATTCATGGATGTTCATCTTCGTCTTTGAAAAACAAAAATATTTTCTTCCCAGAATTGACCCCGGCAGAGCTTGCCCCAAATGCAGAGAAGCTGAGGGCCTGGGGCACACGTGGTGCCAGGGCTCATCTGACATGTGGACACAGGAGCTGGCAGTAGTGTTCACAGGACCGATGCGCTGTTATCGCTGGGGAATGCCAAAGGCGAAGCTAAGTGTGTCTTCCGATCTAGTGTGCATTTAAAGGAAACACCCAGTGTACTGGCATGAAGTAGACTCTAACAGAAAAGGAGCAGCACAGTTCCTGCTATGTATGTTTTAGGGAAAGGGAAGGGCTTAATCCCAAAGGCAACTTAAATAATGGTATTTTATTTTTATATATAAATAAACGTTCTGAGAAATCTCAGACTTTAGTGCATTGTTGTAAAAAATTAGTGCAGTTTTCTCATTAAAGTTTTTAGCGCTCAAGAAGTAAGATAAATCTATGTCTATTCATAGTCTCTTTTACTGTACATTAAACGTTCAGACAGCTAAATGTCAAACTGAAGGTTTCTACACTGGTCTGTTCTTAAAAATCAAGGTAAATGGATTTCATGTTCTGTGACAAAACATGGCAATTATTTTTGGCAAAGAAATTAGAAAAATATGAGATCATAGTTTAGAAATGAAGAGTTTGTTGATGTAAAGCATAGGCAATACATAGGAAAAAACTTTCTTTAAGGATGTATTTTTAACAGAACTTTATCCTTCATGCAGAATGTTTTCTCGGCAGCTAACTTAAAAAAATATTTCAGCTTTATTTGGGGATGGAGACAGCGACAGGAGTCAGGGTGAAGGACGAAGGCGAGGCGCAGAACCAAGCCCGCTCTCCGTCCCCGTCTCTCCCATACCAGAGCCAAGGGATACCTGCAGGCATCTTCCACGCTCTCCTCTCTTCTTCCAACGACTTGGAATGGAGAGGGCAAAGAACCGTAGTTATCCGACACTGGCTCACACTTCAGCCCCAAGTTCTAGTACCCCAGTTTCTATCACAGTCACGTATTTATCATCAATCTGGACCAGCAGTACTGTCTTGTCGATGTGGGATCTAGTACCTGGATCTCTGCTGCAAGGCACCCATCGGTGAATCACCTATTGATTCAGAATACAGTAAGTGAGTGGCAGACACCTGGAAAATATTCACAAAATTCACTCATACTTACGGGTAGTAATTCTGTTTGGTGAAAAGGTACATTTAAAATAACATAAGCATAAATTAGCTAAACCCACGCAAACAAGTCAGGCTACAAAAAAGTGAGAGGCTGGGTCAGCTTCATGAGAGAACTTACATGGCCTTCCATGCCCTCCTGAGGACTCCAGTCTTTCCAGCTGTTTCTCCCAGCTTTTAACCGAATACCCTCATCAGGCCACTGCAGCTCCTTCCTTTTTGACAGGTTGATCCCATCCAGAATTTGACTGGGATCTACAATCTATATTGCAAATAAATAAATATGGGTCATTTCCAGTTCAATTTTTTCTCGATGATGACAAATTATATAATCTCAAACAAAGTTTCTTCCATAGACTCTCCATGTCTCAAGTTCTCCACTGCCTATAACCGAACAAACAAACAGTCTGAAGGGCCTCCTCCTGAGTTCCCTGTAGCCTTCTGGCCGACCGTATTGCAACGGCCACACGACGGCAGCTGAGAAGGGACAATAGTCACCACTGAAACGCTACTTGCTTTTGGTTCTTATGCTGGCAGAAACTTTTTCTCAACATTCAAACGTGTCCTAGTCCTCAGACTAATGAATAGGAAGGTGTGTTCTCACCAGAATGCTTCACTCGACAAATGAGAAAAAAAAAACAAAAACAAATGAGTGACACGAACAGCACAAGAACCACGTGCTTACTCACTTGGACTCTGTAAATCACTTCCCCCCTTTTGGCGTGTGAATTATTGGCAGGACTTAAGGTGTTGCCTGGCTGGACGTCAGTGGCACTGCTCTGACCTCCCTCTGTCCCAAGAAAGCCCACGAGAGTGTGATGTTTGCAGGCTGGGATGCTCTGGCTGGAGCTGCTGGAAGAAGGCAGGCCATGCTGCACACAGGCCATGCCGCTCTGACCGGAAGGCTCCATCTGGTTCACCATGGAGAGGCGGGACTGGATGGAGGACGGTAAGTTTCGAAGCGATATCTGACTCGTGGAAGAGCGCCGACAAGGCACAAATCCCGTGGTGGACATCCGGAGGGAGGAGTGCCGGCTGCTGTAGCAGTAAGAAGACTGGCTGGCCACTGAGGCGCGAGCGGGGGACTGTCTGACCAGGCTTGACTGCACGGAGTGGGAGCTGTGGCTAGTGCCTAGGGAAAGACAAACAACAAGCTCATGCTAAGTGCGATGATTCAAACACAGGGTTGTTTATTTTTCTTTATAGTTTCCAAGAGTTTCCCCCCAATTACTTGGTCAATTCACTGAATTTAAATTATACCTAAAACTTCTTTTAAAAAAGTTTGTATTTCTACCCAAAACTTTTAAAGAAAGATTTATTTGAGAGAAAACGAGAGAGTGCACAAGCGTGCGCAAGCGCAAGTTAGGAGAGGGACAGAGGCAGAGGGAGAGAGAGAATCTCCGCCAGACTCCTCACAGGATGTGGAGCCCAACGCGGGGCTTGATCTGACCCTGAGATCGTGACCTGAGCCAAAACCAAGAGTTGGACGCTTAACAAACTGTGCCACCCAGGTGCCCCATACCTAAAACTTTTAATGTCGTCAAAAAGAAATAAATATCTGAGATCTGTTATCTTGTGTGCTTTTGAATTAATAATTTTAATTTGCTAATGCTTTTTAAAATTAAAATTCTGGGACAAAAATAAGACACACATGATTTCTGCAAATATCAGGATTTAACACTGAGGTGAATCCTAAAATATCTTCCACAGATATACTTCAGAATAATAAGAATACCTCTTTAATATTTCAGAAATGAAACATCTCATGGAAATGTGACCGTAAGAAATATTTATTAAGGAGGTACTATGTGGTAGGATCTGTAACTACTACTTCTCAAAGTATAGAATTAATGTCCTTTCAATTCATTTCAAAGACAAACTACACAGTCTATAGAGAGATGGTGATTCCACACTGTAATTTTCATATCCATTAGGGGGTTACTACTAAATATGAATTATCAGTGATATGGAATGGCAGGTCCTTCTGTGTCCTTTTTCAAATGGCTTGATATGATTCCTCAGGTCTGTCTTTTCCCTGACTTATAACAGTAATATGAAGATTAGGAAATAATTAACTATATTGAAAGAAATTGCTCCATATACTTTCTATCTGAAAATATAGAGCTGATCAAAATAAGAGCATTTAAGAAAGCACAATCAAAGTTCTAGCTTTTCACTCAGAAGTTACAAAAGAACATAAAAAATGTTGGTAATACACCTATTTAGAGTCTTAATTCCAATACTATTGGATTTTTTTTTTTTTTTTTTTAAACAATGAATGTCTTAAGACTCATTCATGTGAAGCAGTAGGGGAAAAGACAGCACTGGATCAACCACCCAGCCATATGAAAACAGATTAAATCTGATTCCTACTGTATACCAGGTTGATTACAGACCTTGTGTTAAAGGTATATTAGTAAAAACAAACAAACAAAAAAAACCAAAGAAACCTGTCATGCCTTGGGACCGGAATAATTTTCCTAAGTTAGGATACAAAAAGTACTAATCATAAAGGGAAAGATCAGTAAACTGCTCTACACTTAAATTAAAAAGACTTTTGTCAAGCAAAGAGGAACCACCCTTCTTAGGAAGAGAATGGAAAGCCCAGGATAGAATGGGAAGAGATATTTGTGGTATAGAAAACTGACAAAGAACTCAAACACAGAATATACAAATAAGAAAAGGATAATCATGGAACTAGAGGATATTATGCTAAGCAAAATTAAGTCAGTCAGAGAAAGACAAATATCCTATTATTTCACTCATGTGGAATTTAAAAAACAACAGATGAACAGGGGAAGGGAAGTTAAAATAAGGTTAGTACAGAGAGGGAGGCAAACCATAACAGACTCTGAGCGTTGATGGAGAGAGGTGGGTGGGGGATGGGCTCAATGGGCGCTGGGCATTAAGGAGGGTACTTATTGGGATGCGCACTGGGTGTTTTATGTGGGCGATGAACCACTGGATTCTGCTCCTGACCAGTGCTGCACTGTATGTTAACTTGAAATTAAATTTGAAAAAGAGAAAGATAACCAAAGAGAGTAATGGGCAAGAGACTTAATAGGCACTTCAAAAAGGGAAACCGTGATAAACTCATTTAAAACTTTCCAATCTTGGGTGTCAGAGCAATGTAAATTAAAACAATGAATTAAAGATCACTCTTCCCCTTCCCTCCAAGCAAGTAGGGAGCAGAGATGAGAAATGATAATACTCCAAAGCTGGTGAAAATTTACAGGATGGGCATTCTGATGTTATGACTGGGAGAGTACCAATTGGTAAAAAACAAAACAAAACAAAAACAAACAAAAACCTGCTGGAAAGATTTTTGGCATTCTGTGTCATAAATATTAAATATTCTCATAAACTTTGACTTAATGATTGTATTTTAAAAGTCTCTAGCCCAAGAAAATAGCGATTAGAAAAAGTTTATTATAACATTCAGAAGAAACCAAACCATTGTCCAATGAAAGACAAGTTAAATAGATTATACTAAATATTATGAACCTTTAAAAAATATGATATTCCAAATAATACATATATTTCATTACTATAAATAGGATAATATCCAACCAGGAATCAAGCAAAATACTCTTTTTACATATTTCCAAGTAGGTAATAGAGACTTCCTTTTTCTTTTTGAGAGAGAGAGAGAGAAAGCGAGCACATACCTGTGAGGGAGGGGGTTGGGGAGGGACAGAGAGAGAGGGAGAGAGAGAACCCCAAGCAGGCTCCATGCCCAGTGCAGAGCCCATGGGTCTCAGGGCTTGATCCCACCACCCTGAGATCATGACCTGAGCTAAAATCAAGAGTCTGACGCCTAACTGACTGAGCCACCCAGGCACTCTGGTAACACATAATTCTCTTTATACACGTACAGTAAGAGGCTTAGATACATCATTTTGTTTTCACATTACCTAGTGCTGGAGGATAAGCTGTGACCGGTGGATGGAGTCCGGCTCCTGACCCTTGCCCTGGATTTCCAGTGCTTCCCTGGGACACACTGCTGTGGGGGTCACTGGCGCTCACTGCATTGTTGCTAGTGCAAGACATTCCGCCTCCAGTGTCAGAATCTTCAATATTGCCACCGCTGTTACAGCCGGCCCCACACCCTTTCCTTAACCTAGGAACAAACACCAGAGTAAGCAGCATTATCCCATGATCACTTCAAGCTAGGTGTTTTATTCTACTTCTAGCTATTCTGAATGTTTAATGCTACTAATGTGCAATCAATATGAGAAACAAAAAAAGGCATTTACATTTTCAAAGAATGGCCTAAGAACTATCCCCTCCTTATTCTCATCGCTTCAATTCTCCCCAATCTACCTTCACTTTAATATAGTGTATCATCTTTCCCAATCTTTTCATCTTTCCTTAGCCGTAATAAACCGCACATAACAAAACTGTACCATTAAGGTGGAAATAGGACTCTTGCCAGCGTCTGCTCAGTGCCTCCGAAGTGTATAACCCCTGAAAACCCCTCATTTCTGCTGTAGCAAACTTGGGAGAGAGCTGCTGCAATCATTTCCCCTGGTTTTTGTGGGTGTTTTTGTTTTTGTTTTTTAATGTAGGGTGACCAACTATCCTGGGTTACCCACAACTGTCTCAGTTTTGCATTGAAAGTCTTGCTTCCCAGGACACTTCTTAGTCCTGCGGAAACCAGGACAGCTAGGAACCTTAATCTCTATTACCATTTCTCTCGAGGGAAGAGAGAAATCAATCTCTTTAAGGCAATTCCAGCAAAACAGATAGTTTTTTAAAAGAAATTTTGAACACCACTCTGGTTTATGTTCTTCCTTCTGTTTGGATAGAGACTGATATTAAAATGGTGAAACTTTTTTTTTTTTTTTTTTTTAGTATGCCTAGAGGAAAATGCCTTCTTGAGAGTTTGCCACCCTAATCCCACATTCTGTTTTTCCTAAATTCCATTTTTTAAGGATCTAAACAAAAGCCAATAAGAAATTGAAAAAATACTGTGATATTTCTTCACCATCCACCAAACTATGATGTTCCTATACTGAACACCATAATTTACGAGACAAAAGGCGGAGAGAAAATTCGTGTGCATACTTGAAGATACTACAGATTTGAGATTGGAGTGATGACTGATTGTTAAAATGGCAGTAGTGTTACATAACGAGAAGTTTGAGCAAGTACAGCATGCTTGCCCTTCTGCAACACTGGACTAAAACAGAAGGTGAGCAACTTCTTCAAGTGTCTTCTCTAACTTGCTGTTTGTTGACCCACACATCCTACTAGTGTCATTAATGTTGCAGTACAGAGTCAAAAAAGTTAAAGAAAAGAGAACTATTCAAGATTCTACCAAATGCTGGATCAGTGTAATCAGAGTTTGACATGAGACTTATCTAGTAAGAGTCTGAAGATAAAAACTGCTCAGACTACTTTCCGAAGTTCCTGATAGAATAGGTTTATATTGCGTTATGGCATCTGTATTTTTCTGTAAGCTTTCTAGGTGACACTTATGTGAACTGCCTCGATGAAGGTCAGAACACACCACCGCTGAAATATGCAACCCCACAGCTCACCTGTGCCAGGTTGACACTATGAAATTTCTGATATTTCCCAAACTGATAGGTCCCCCAAGGATTTCTTTAAGCTGTTCATGGCTGTCAGAGTAAGAAGTTGTCAGGGGTGAGACAAAGATTGGATAGCCAATAGGTTGGTCACAAGATGAGTTTATCATGTTTCTCAGAGCTTGTTTGGCATTCTGGATGCTACCTCTCTCTGGGTTACGGTTACGTAGAAAAACAAGCTCTTGCTGTTGTCCTGCCCAAAGACCTCGGACACATTCCTTATTAACCTGAAAACCAGAACACATGGGAATTAGGTTAAGGGGCCAAGAATGAAATTCATATAAACAGAGGAGTATAAATCAGAGGGATACAAAAGACACATGAGAGCCAAATGTAAAAAGCAGGAAACAAATACAAGTTGGTCACAATTTTATAGAAGTTCATCGATTTTCCATTGTCACCAATAGGCTATTAAATAAGCACATGCAGAACTCTTTTTCCTGGTCTGGTAAAAATATCAAGTTTTCCAAATTAACAATGCACTGGGTTTTGCAACTGAGATAACAGATATATTTGACAGAAATCAGAAGTAACAAATATTCAGAGTTAAAAGGATGTTTGTGACCTTGCGGGTTGATTAGATGAAGTAGATAAAAAGTGAATCATTATAAACTATTAAAATAAAATTTCAGAAATTATGTCTCCTAAAGCCATGAGATGTTTAAAAAAGCAACAAACAAAGGGAGGTAGATGGGCAATGGGGTAAATGGGGGATGGGCATTAAGTAAGGCATGTGATGAAATGAGCACTGGGTGTTCTATGCAACTGATGAATCACTAAATTCTACTTCTGAAACTAATTTTTAAAAAAGGACAAACAAAAAAAATGTACAAGCTATGGTATTGTTTTGAAACCTGGAAATCAGATTAGCAATATGGTGTTGATGTTTTAAGAAGAGACAGTGCCCAGAGTGTATATATAACAGATAAAAGACTGCCAAAATGGAAATAAGCAAAACTTTTAAAACTTTATGGCACATGAAAAAATTTCAGAGGACAGAATAGATTGGAACATAAATCAAATTAAGCGCTCATAATCAATGCTAATGTAGTATGGTCATTTTTCTTCTATAAAAAGTTTCAATCACTTTCTAAACTTGGGGTAAGGTTATGTAACTTTTTTTTTCAGACACAAATAAATGCCTCAAAAACTAACCTTAATGACCCTGAAGCTCAGGTAGCGTCTGTTGAGCATGATGATCTTGTATTCATTGGTGCCGTCATCCATGACATGCCGCAGAGCGAGAAGGGAGGGAGAGTTGGCAAGGACTGCACTCCGCCATGCAGGGTCCCCTTCATGGGCTATTACAAGGTTCTTTTCATGAGACACAATGGCTTCATAGAGCACAGTAGGGTCATCATACTCATCTGGAGAAGTGAAATGATCCTAAACAGAGAAATAAAAAATATATACTTTATAGGAAAAGAAGGACTTCCATATAATGATAAAAAGCTTTTGCAGTTACTAAATGAAAATTCTGAAAAACTGGTTTAATATGAGTATTTCATATCCGCACATATTATTATTGTTGGAGACAGAGTGTCTTAAATTTAAGCAGGTTAGGAATTAGCTCTTTACTTTTGTAAATACTTCAAACCAACCCTATCTTCTAAGTTTTAAATAAACAAATATTTTTCCAATTTTTATAAATTTTCTTTGTTTTTCTCGTTCAAGTGGGGTTTTACATGTCTTAATTCATACATAATTTTTTCTCATAAAGGACTGTCTCACTGGTATCAGTTAAGGAAGGCTAAACAATATAAAAGTCCCCTAAGTTGTGTTCCTTTTTAATGAGGCATTTTTCACACAGAGCCACATCTCTAGAATGATCCTAATATGCATTTTATCTCTTCTAGTTAAGATAAGGAGATTAAGGGTCCCAGTCCTAAAGAAGCTAGTCAAGTCTTCCCTGAGAAATCTCTTGGTCTAGGTAACTACCACTCCTGCATTCCACAAGCCGTTATTTAATACCTCTCATGTGTGGGATTCTGTGGCACGGATGAAAAAGGACTATGTGGAATGTATCCCCCTTCAGAAACCTGCAAGTTAACAGGGGATGCAGGACATATACCCACACAACCTTAAGACAAATTCAAAGTTCTGAAATGAAGAGTATATAATCGTAGCTATTCATAGTTGGGAGGTTGATAAATTTTTACATCCAGGTAAAGTCACTCATTTCCACTCAAGCCAAGTGACCAGACTGTGTGTGGTATCTGAGGGGAGATGGGTGAGTACAAGAAGGCAAGCTCCCCAATGATGCACCTCCACATCTGGGGGCTGGCCTGTATGAGAACAGAAAAAGTATTCACTTGTGTATGTGAATAATACTTCAGAAGGTAAAAAGTTCTAGCAACACGCTACCCCGCCGCCCCACCCCAGCAACTCTTAACAACCTTGCCAAGCAGATTAAGTACGTAATACCGGCTTTGCAAATATCAAATCTGAAGCTCAAAGAGTCTTGGTGGCTTCCTAGGTTTAGGAAGTTAGTAAATGATTAAGCCAGGACTTAAACCCATGTTTAAAGAGAATTTAGCATTCTGATTTTTAAAAGTGTGTGATTACAAACATTAACTGAAAAACCTGTAAGCCCAGTTGATGTGATTAGGGAAAGTTACACAGTGCAGGTGGTTTTGAACTGAATCTGCAAGAATGAAGACAATTTCCGTGGACGGAGATGGGCACTGTGCCAGAAAGGGAGAGAGCTCCAGGCAAGACGTCCTACAGGAGAAGCACAGGTCAGTGAAGAACACAAAGGTGATTATAGCCTAAAGTCTCTCTGGGGAATTGAGTTTCTATGATGTTGCCAGGCAGCTCTGTGCTAGACACTGGGGAAGGACCAGTGAGTGAGACAGATACAAGCACTGTTCTCAAGGAACTTAGGGTCTAGTTAGAAAATACTGAAAACAAAACAAAACTCGAAAACTAGCTTTTAGCCAGATTGTGGAGCATCTCCCTTGTACCTTGTCCAGATTTCTGCTATTGGGCTGGTGTACTTCCCTCTGTTACTCCCTTCTCTTAGAGCTGCCCTCAACTGATCGGGCTACCTAGGCAGGAAATGCCAGGGGAGGTTTATTCCCCTCCTTGGTTGTGGGGAGGGGGGCGAAGGTACATCATGTAACATCATATAACTCTTGGTGACACTGACACTCCAGAACTCCCTCTAAATCCAGTAGAAGCTAGAATTCAGCTCAAACAGTTTTGCTTAGCTCCTTCCCTCTTCTTTCCTGCTCCCCACCCTTCCTTACAAATTCACCTGAGGACACCCTTTCAGTCTCTGGCACAGGAATCCTGGGCTCTGACTCTGCTTCTAAAGAGTGTGGCCTAAGCTTGCGTTTATGACACCTCTGTACATCGTACACCAGCCCTCCCGACCTTCCTTTGAAATACCAAGCTCGCCTTCAGCAGAGAGCTAGATATCGTATGACGGGCTCTCCTTTAGCAAACAGATCCTTTAGGGAAGGAATTCTATCTCTGTATAGTAGTCTTCCTACAATTTTTTGAATAAAAAATAAAAAGTGCAGATATAGGCAATAGTTACAGTCTTAATAAAATGGACAAAGTTGGAAATTATTAGGCATGCCAAAATGGAGTACGATGAATCTTGCTCAATTATTTCTTTTCACTGGGCTTAAGATGGTTGGGCGAGTATTGTTTTAGAGGCGAATTATTTGAAACAAGCAGAATGTCCACGAATAGGGAAATGGTTGAATAAACCGCAGTTAAGATTATATCCTGGAATACTACAGAGCCATTAAAAATGTAGAAAGTATCTAAGTTATATTAAATATGGGGGGGAAAGCACATGTTACAGATCACTTTATGTAGCACAAAGGAAAACATTTGTATATATAGATGGAAATGTCTATGAACTCAGGAAAATCAAAAAAGATACGCATCAAATTACTGGCAGTGACTGCTTCCTGGAAGGGCCATACAATGGTACAGGGTGATGGGAATACTTATTCTTGGGGGACACTCACTTTTTGACGTTTTTTCATTATTTTTCAAATACAAAGAGAAAATGTTCCCAGTTTGGGGAAAAGTTTTCAAAGTCATTTTAAAAATATACTTGAAAAGTTAAAAGCCAATGCACAGTATATATTTTTGAAAAATGAAACTCATTCATTTTACATTCACTGGCAACCGACCCTCGTGCTAAGCAATGAAGATATAAAGATCAGTAAAAAATGATTCCTGTCCTCAACCACACATTGTAAGATTTTTGTCATGTATCACTTATAAGCCAAAATGAACTTTGATTAGTTTATTTTAGTTCTAACATCCATGTAATCATCAAAGAGACTAACGAAAAAGGTAAAACAAATAAGGATGTGAAGTGTTTTATGTTTTACAAAATGATTAAATAGAGGATAAGAATAGGAGAACATGTGAAAAAGGCAATTTGCTTAATTTCTCTGCGTTGAGTCTTCACCTACCAAACTGGGATGAAAATAATTTTCTCTGGTATTATGTATATGCAAGCACTAATATGCTGTACAACACTGTACAATTATTAAATATCACACAGATTATGGCCATTTTTATTTATAAAGTAAAAACATAATATAGTCAATTGGAGAATTAAAAAATTTTTAAAAATGGTAAAGGAAAAAACAAAAATTAAAAACACCTACAAAGTGTGCTAAACACACATTATCAAGGACTGTCTGAGAGGCAAGAGTTAAGAGAAATTTTGTATTTCTAGCTTTCTGGGAACAAAACCTTTTCTTTACATACAATAAATTCCACCATTTTTACGTGTGCAGTTAGATGCACTTTGACAAATACGCACACCCACGTAATCACTGCCACAATCTAGATCTAAAACTCTTCCATCACCCCAAAACATTCCTTCCTGTCTTTTGGCATTCAATCTCCACATCCTAAGGAATCACTAATCTGCTTTCTGTGGCTGTAGACTAGTTTGGCTTGTTTTAGATCTTATATAAATAAAATCATACAGTATGTACTCTTTTTATATCTGGTTTCTCCCGCTGTGCATAATGTTTGAGATTCATTCATGTGGTATCTAACAGTAAGTAGCTCATTTCTTTTTACTGCTAAGTAATATTCTATCATGTAGATATACCACAATTAGTATGTTCATCTGTTGATGGAACGTGAGTTGTTTGTAGTATGGTCTATTACAACTGAAACTGCTAGGCACATTCTCTTAAGTAATTATCCAGGAGGGAACAGCTGGGTTATGAGGAATGTGTATGAATAATCTTTCTTTTAATATATACGCCGCCTATGGTTCACTTTTGTGGGTTGGGTTTTCAAGAGTATATAACTCATGAAATATATGAGTAAATATATGAGTATGAACTTTGGAGATTCCCAGTACTGATTTACAGATCTATCTTTTCTTGGCCTAAGAGTTCCTCATGGGAAGCCCAACATGTGTCTCAAAATGATGCTCAGTAAGTGGTTGTTTCTGGCTACTGCAGAGGTCGATCTCTCCCTCCTCAAAGGTGTATCAAAATTATGGGATTTTTCCAGGCTGCATTTGTGTTCTCTATCTTCCCCCCACCACCAATCCTCTGTGGCTCCCAGGTTCCTGATTCCAACTCCTCACCCCCATGGTTTGTCACTGTTGTTGTCAATCATGGCTAATAAAAGTAAGCCGTGTGTTGGGCCAAATGTAAGGTAGAGAGACCCTGTCACAGACAATAATGCCATAGCCAAAAGAACATGTAAGGAAACGGACCTGACAGCAATAGGTAAGAGCACCTCTAAGGAGAGACGGGCAAAGACCTAAAGTATCTGAAAATTCCCTGTGCCTCAGTTTCTCTTCTGACAGATGGAGAGAAAATACCTGTCATAATGTTTAGAACTAACTGAAGATGTCGCTCTGTAGCTGTTAAATAACCATGCTGTATAAAAGAGTATTTCTTACATACAGATATATTATCAATCAGTGCCTTTTGAGAAATTCTGAAGTTTTAAAAACATTTTAATCTAAAGTCATTATCTTTTTCATTTAAAAACACTGACTTGGCTCAAAACTGTAAAGCTTGTCTGAAGACAGACAACTCTAATTCTTCCCAAATGTGTATTTTCTCAATGATCCTCAAAATAGCATTCCATTTTCCACAGAGACTTTCAGATAATATATCCCTTCTCAGTAACCTCCTAAATAATACAGGACATTGACTTTATTCTAGCAGTTTAGATCATAGTAAAATCATCTGAGGAGTAATTCACCCTTTATTTGGGGGGAAAAAAGATTCAAACAGGTCTGAGTACAGCCGATACATTTTATTTTATTTAAAGATTTTATTTATTTATTTGACAGAGAGAGATCACAAGTAGGCAGAGAGGCAGGCAGAGAGAGAGAGAGAGAAGGAAGCAGGCTCCCTGCAGAGCAGAGAGCCTGATGAGGGACTTGATCCCAGGACCCTGAGATCATGACCTGAGCCGAAGGCAGAGGCTTAACCCACTGAGCCACCCAGGTGCCCAGCTGATGCATTTTAATGAGGCTTATCATGTGGTCTCTGTCATCAGATCTGATGACTACTATTAAGTGGAATGACTAGAGTAGCTCATACTGGTACTTAATTTCCTAATATAGTTTTGAAATAATCCAGGGCTTTGGATATGTATTTTGGGTCTGCATTTTATTACCCTACTAGGATTATTTAAGTAAGGCTAAATCTGTCCTAATCTTCTACTATTCTATATAACATGCTACATGAAACAGCAGCACTTATAACCCTCCTGAGATGTTACTACAATGCATTGGGAGTTAGCTAACATTTGCCTACAGAAGAGGCTTGAATAACAATTATGTGAAATGTGAGGTAAAAAAAAGGGCCTGAGAGCTTTACTCCTAGTTTGTCACTGCTGACAGTTTTCCTCAAGTTCATGTCCAGATCAGTTACTCTCCAATATTAATATTCAAATTTACCCTTAGAAACACAGATTCAGGCTTCTAAGATCTAGTATCTTGTCATAAATCATGTCTTCCCGTGTTTCAAATTACAGTATTTCTCAAAAGGTTCTTAACCCACTGAGCCACCCAGGCGCCCTTTTTTTTTTTTTTTTTTTTAAAGATTTTATTTATTTATTTGACAGGCAGAGATCACAAGTAGGCAGAGAGGCAGGCAGAGAGAGGAAGGGAAGCAGGCTCCCCGCTGTGCAGAGAGCCCGATGCGGGCCTCGATCCCAGGACCCTGGGATCATGACCTGAGCCGAAGGCAGCGGCTTAACCAAAAGGTTCTTAAGAAACATAATTTGGAAGTCAAATGAAGAAGTTCCATTAAACACCAGTAATGCATTATAATTCTCCTCTTCTTACCTGATGAAGTTTAATGGACATGCGGATTCCCGGGACGACTACTTTCCTTAGCAATTCCATGTCAGCGAAGATCCATTCATCTCGAATTGAAGAAATACGGAAATCTCCCTTAAATAGGGCATGCAATCCATAGAGGAATGACTCTAAATTACTGTTAGGATTGGAGATAAAGGTTTACGTATTTTGACAAAGAACTTCCATTACACTGATTCTTACATGTGGTTGTGCATCAGAATCATCTGGGAGTGTTTTGCAAATACAGACTCCAATGACTATACTAATATCAGAACCCCTGAGTCAGACTCACAAGGGACAGGGGCCCTTTGACCTGGGATCCTTGTTTACGAACCACTATAAGAGTAAGTCCATGAAAATAAACAACAGACAAAGAGTGTATAAGCCACAAAAGCTTACAGAGGGTCTAATGGAAAATATGTAGTAATCACAAAAGAAATTTAAAATATGTAATATTGCTTAGTTCTAATTCATTCAGACACTTATGTCAAGAAATTCAGCTTATATTTATACTCCCCAAAAATCTAATGTACTATGTTAACTATATTAAGAGCATAAATGCTCTGGATCAAAAAAATTACAAGGAAATATGGAAGAACAAGAAGAGGTAACTCATTAGAAAAACAGATGTAAAACGGGAGAAGACCAATCAAACTTTACAGGCGATTATTTTTAAAAATGTCTTAAATCCAAGAAACTCTCATTATCAGTAGTCATCCGCGCATGTGTGAATTTTAAAAGCCAGCCATTAACCACTAGGGTGAATTCAATTATGTCAGCAAAAGATCTATAAAAAAACAGTATCAGAAGAGACTTCTGTAATCAATTAGCATAGAATGCTTCCATGAAAGGCTAATTCAGATTTATGTTATACAGCTTCTCCTACTCTCTTCCTGAAAACAGAAATGCCTTCCTTACCTGGACATATGGTGGGATGCAGTCCCCAGAGCTCTCCGTCCCAGAACACAAAGTCCGTAACAAAGAGTCACTAGGGATGAATCTTTGTCTACATCCAGTGGCTTGAAAAAAACAAAGAACACTCATTATCAGAAAGACATAAAGGTATTTAACAAATCGGAATAGCTAATAAATTAGAGGATGAAGAACTCAACTAATATATAAGTTCTAGGTCTTTAAATAGTTCTAATGAGACAAAACTTAACAAATCAGTGTAAAATGAAGTATGAGTGTATATGAGGTGTTCCTCTGAAACCTTTAAATAAAATCTAATGCTTTATAATACTGGGACACACTTTTTTAAAAATCCTGACTTTTATAAAGTATTAGGATCTTAGCAAAACATCTCAAAGTACTTACTGGCATACATCATTCCTGATAATGTCCTCTCCTGAAAATACAATATTCTTTCTATTAATTAGTTGTTTTGGGACATAACCTGGCAAACAGGTTATTAGCGACAGCTGTGTTAGCCTACTAGTGATGATTACCAGAGTGAAGAAAATCAAATTCGTATCTGTGGAATACTGCTTCCCCTTAACCTCTCAATTTTTTTTAAACAACTGAAGGTTTTCTTACCCAGATGGTCAGAAAGAAGAAGGTCTGGAAAAACTGACCTCCTAATAACAAATGGGGATATTCTTTCCATCTCCGAAAAAATGGACTCAAACAGTTACAAATGAAGCACATGAGCTCTACCTTTGCTCTTCGGGAAGAGCAGTACTCTATCCAGTTGAGGTAAATTACACAAAAACTCTCTCTGGATATGCCAGCCAGTCGATGGTCATAGTCTTCATCGATGTTTGGGTTAAATGTTGGGTCCACATCAACATAATTTCGATCTGCACACAGACGTAGTCCTTCCTGCATTGTCTCATTGGCTAGCCACTCCTCCAGTTTAGAAGAAGTTGTAACATAATAAATGATACCCTAATGGGGAAAGATTAAAACAACAACAACAACAACAACAACAAACCTAGGTTAAGTTACAGTTTGAATTAACTCCAATTCTTCATTAAATAAATTCCAATGGTTTATACTGATTGTATAACTAAAAAATATTTTATTCTAGCTCAATACTCTAAGAATACATTTTAGGAATGCTGTAAAAAATATGCCTCAGGCCTTTCTGGATGAATAGTTAATTTAATACTTTAAAAGTCACAATCATAAATTCATCAAGACAAATTCAAAACAATTTTTTTCTCTTGATTTTAGAGCTTTTGAATTGAGGACATTTTAAGAGAGGTAGAAAAACTTTACTGTGATGCATTTCTCACAGAAAGTTACTAAATCATCTGGTGAAGCTGGATCAAGTTACAGAAATAGAACAGCAAAGCAACAGAGAAATATACCTATTTAGAACCAGAGATCGAAAAAGCCATGTACACACAGAGACGCATCGCACATAAATAGTGCAAACTCGATCTGTTTAGCTTCCTGAGGTTGGGTTTAACCAACCATTAATTATAAGACTAACATTCACCCCAGTCAGCACAAGTAAAGTGGGACATAGAGGTAGTAACACAAACATGGAAAATACTGATATGGGTCACTAAAATTCAGCATACATTTCCCTCTTCAAAATACTGCTTTGCCTGCAAGTTGCCATATCATAGTTTTGCTATAATCTTGTAAAATCTTTAGCAAAAACAGAACACCTGTATAGTAACGAACTAACCTTGCCCAAAGAGCGGTTTGGTCTTTGCCCTTGGGTCCTAGAAGGAAACTTCTACTCCTCTGGAATGTCTTTGTTCACCTATGAGCTTACAGCCATGACAGCTGGAGGAGGTGGGAACTAAGGCTGGTCATAGGGTAGTCAACCACATCTAAGTGACTACGCTCCAATAAAACTACACACCCAGGCTCAGGTGAGCTTTTTTGGTTGACAACAGCTGGGAGAAACAGGCATTATCTGCATAACTGCACTGACAGAAGACAAGTGGAAACTCATGCCTTCGTGTCTCTGGCCCCTGCCCTACACACCTCTTTCCTTGGCTGATTTTAATGTGTACCCTTCCACTGTAATAAACCCTAACCATGAGTGTAATGGTTTTGCTGAGTTTTTTGAGTCCTTCTGGCAAATTACCGAACCAGAGACTAGTCTGTGGGGATGCCAAAATTGCAGCTGGTGTTGCAAGGGAGGGTGGTTTTGGGGACCTCCCAAATCTTGCAATACTTTTATTCAGGTTATTGAAAGCAGCGCAAGAAATGGTTAGCAGCAAGGGCTCAGCAGCTGGACAAGCCTAGATTTAAAATCCTTAACTCCACCTGCTAATTAGAGGACTCTGGGCAGGTAACTTCTGATTCTTGTTTATTTGTAAAACACAGAAGGAACTGTATGCATATTCCTTAGCCCAGTGCCTAAAACATATGAGGTACATATGGTAGCTATTATTCATGAACAAATGGAATGAGTTCCACTAAAGAAGGAAACGGCAATACCATAGTAGGTATACTTTACTGACTTAATGGATACTAGAGAATTTTTTTTTTTTTTTTTACAATAGACTCTAGCTGGGCATGGAGCCCAAAGTAGTGCCAGAACTCACAACCCTGAGATCAAGACCTGAGCTGAGATCAAGAGTTGGACACTTGACTGACTAAGCCACCCCGGCGTCCCAATACTAAAGAATTTAAATCACTACTTAGAAGCAAAGCACAAGTATTTTAAAAAAAGTTTTTTCCAAGAAGATCAAAAGCTCTAACTGGGCATACAGCCTTACCTTGACATAGTAAGTGGTGAGTACTTTCCGAAGGTCAAAGACTTGGAGCATAGAGGCAGCACTGTTGTCAGTGATACTATAACCTTCCAGAATATACTTAGTGACGATCACTTCCCAAGCTAGCCAGCGCTGGCTAAACGCAGCATTAAATGAAAGCACATGAGGAATATGTCCAGGTTCACAACAGCAAAATCCTTCATCTTCTTCAACGCCTTCAGTAATGGCCTCCACTTCCCGTTGTTGACAGTAAGTACCTTAGAGAGAGAGAGAAAGAGAGTGAGAGAGAGAGAGACCACTGCATACAAGGGAGAAAAAAACCACATGCAGTAGAACATGAATGCTTCAAAGACACCAGAAATTTAGGGAAAAAAAACAACACACCTATTATAGTAACTGAAAGTATGGGAGCGATTTGCCTTGGAATGTTCACTAACCAAGGGCAGGAAGCTTGACACCAGGCATATTATATATTCACCTCTCGCAGAATCACAACATGCATTAGCACATTCCAGCTTCTGAAAACCTGCGCAGTTACCTTCTTTATTTTCATTCACTGATCCCAAACTTTTCAAACTTGGGTTTTCAATTGCAGTCATATCACATGAAGGCCAATGAGTAAAGGGACATCACATGACAGTTTGAGTTAATTCAGTAAGGGAAGAATGGATTTAGAAATGAATCACTGCAGGGCACACAACAGAGACAGACATGCAGAACCCAAAAGAATGGGAGCGCCATTTACCAGTACCATGTCCATGTGGCAAGAAGAAATATTATATACACGTATTTTTTTTTTTTAAGATTTTATGTATTTATTTGACAGAGAGAGACACAGTGAGAGAGGGAACACAAGCAGAGGGAGTGGGAAAGGAAGAAGCAGGCTCCCTGCTGAGGTCAAACCCAGGACCCTGGGATCGTGACCTGAGCCACCCAGGTGCCCCCATAAATATGGATATATGAACTGTAATGGTTCATGATAATTTTATCTTAAATTCATAATTACTTTTTCTGTTGCCCATTCCAACAGTAATTGGATAAAATTACATGATTGGCATTTGAAGCTTACCTGCTGATAAAGTTTCAATTAGCCATGAACTCTGATTATTCAACACTAGGAAACAATCCTTTGAAATTACATTCTTTTATATAAGATATTAGACATTCCCTGCATTACTGTTACTGAAGTAAAAATACAAAATCAGAATAAATACAGAATTACACCCACAGCAATCTAGTGCCAGTAAAATATCATCTGTCACATTAATGTTAATTTTTATTTTATTCTGTGGCCTTGCTTCCACTTAAACAGCAAATTCCTTAAATTCTGTAAGGACTACAAGGGGATTACACTTAATTTTATAAAAGCACATTATTTCAGTTATATTATAATAACTTATGTGGACTTCACAATTTTTTTTTCCTTTAAAGAGAATATATACACCATCCATGTTTGAAAAACAGTTTTTTTTATCTTAAAGATTTTATTTATTTATTTGAGAGGGGGAGAATACTCGTGGGGGATAGGGCAGACAGAGGGAGAAGCAGACTCCCCACTCAGCAGAGAGCCCAATGTAGGACTTGATCCCAAGACCCTGGGATCATGACCTGAGCTGAAGGCTTAACTGACCGAGCCACCCATATGCACCCCTGAAAAACACTGCTTTGAGACAAAAAGATGCCATGAAAACTAGCCACGACTGGTGGTGGTGCTATAAAAGATAGAGGCAGAAGAGGTAGGCTGGGCTGGGCTATGAGCTGTGCTGTTTAACTCTCTACAACTCTCTCATTTCATTTCTTGCTTGATTACATTGCCGAGTGCATCCGGCACAATGTCACCCAGTGGTGGAAAGAAAAACCTTGGCTTAAACCTCACGTCAACAGGAATGCCCGCTGCAGTTGATCATTACATGAGTGGGACTACAGATCTATATACACAAACTTTTTTTTTTCCCCCAGAATAAAGATATGTGCAATTTTATAAAGTATTTTTCAAACCAATAATGGAAATGAAATTCAATCAAATGTCTGCTGGTATCTTCTGAGAGGATCATATTTTGTTGTTTTTCTCCTACAATCTATTAAAAGATGAGTTCTATCAATTTGCTAATATTAATTTCAAAAATAAAAAATGAAATGAAAGTGGCTGAACTATTGAGAGGTAGGTATTAAAAAAAAAAGGGCTGCTGCTAATATATGCTTATTCGGGTTCTGAGGATTTTTGCATCCAGGCTCTCATGTGTTAAACTACACTTTTTTTTTTGCCAGTTTAGCCATATTTTGACATCAGTATTACAGTGGCTTTGTAAAAAGCCTGGAGAAATTTTCCTTCTTTATCCATGCGCTGCAATAGGCTAGAGAGGGCAAACAAATTATTTGGTTTCTAGAAGAAACATCCCAAGGCTGGGGTTTTAAAACTGTGGCCTCAAGCTGGGTGTGTTCCTGAGATTTTCTGTGTTATTACTTCATTTTATTCATTTTGTCATCTTTCTGGAAGGTCAGTCAAAGGTTTTTAAGTAAAGGAGATGACATAATGAGAGCTGTTTTTGTGCAGATGACTTTAAGAGTATACAGAAAAGATATGTGGCAAGAGGGAACTTGGAGACTGACATTTTTGCAGAAGACAGAATGAGATCCCTGTTCAGAGCAGCAGCATAGAGTGAACAGAGTAACTAATTAAAGTGGGATGTTTTTACTCTACCATACAAATCCCAAGAATATTTTCTACCACAACATGTCCTAGTAATAAATCGTGCTTTGGAAATGAAGTCAATGATAAGCATAGGAGTTAATACTGGCAACTAACAAAAGAACTCTGAGACTTGGAAAGGGATTCTAGAATATCTGTAAGAACTATTTACCAACTGTTTCCTGGATTAGCTATGTCTTTCAGTCACTTCATAGTGACTATTATCAGTAAAACTAAAACTAGCAGTTATGAAAACTAGATATATTAAAAGTAATTTGAGTAAAAACTGAGATGAATCCAATCAGAATACATTTTTGACCTATAACGTTTGACCTGGAAAACTGGGCATGGTTGAAGTAACATTTACAAACAGAAAGTTAGCACTGTAGAAGATACACTAAATTTCTGATAGACAAAAATGATTGATAATTAAATCTATGACATAAAATTTACATAGAAAAGAATATGAGGGTATCAGTAATATAAAAATGGAAACTAACTGAAAATAAAGGGATTTAAAACCAAGACATACAGGAAACTGATGAAGAAATTTGTTTAGCTAAATATCATATAGCACTTAGCAACCACTACAAGATGCAATAAAATGAATGAATTAAATTGGCTTAGTGGAGAATACGTCAGGAGATCCAAATGCGTCAGGAGATCCAAATATCTATCTGGCAACATACTGACACTCTCGAGTAATATTTTGAGAGGCAAGAGGTAGACGGGACAGGGAATAACTCTGAAGGAAAGTAAATAACCAACAATTTTAGGATCTGACCAAGAATATAAGCATATCTCACAAGAATTCTGGAATGCAGAGAAAGGAGAAACAGCTATATACTTACATCATTTAATCATTCTACAAAATAAACTAATTATGTATTATATGCTAACTAATGAAGCAGCAACTAGATACACAGTGTTAGTGAATGAAGCAGAAAGGATTCCCGCCCTTGAGGAGCTTATAATCTACAGCAAAGGTTTGCAAAACATAGCCTTGGGCCAAATCCAAGCTAAGAATGGTTCTTATATTTTTAAAGTATTGTTAACAACAACAACAACAACAACAAAAATCAAAGAAAAATATGCAACAGAAAACGTGCATGCCTCCAAAAGCCTAAACTATTTACCATCTGGCTCTTTAAGAAAAAGTTTGCCAACCCCTGGGCTCAAGAAGAAATAAACTTTAAACAAACACAAATAAATATGAAATTATGAAATTATGCTAAGTGCTAAAGAGGTAAAAATGGCAATCTGAGAGATAATCATGTGGGACAGGTGCTTAGAGAAGGCTTCTCTGAGAAAGTGATATTTAGACTAAAGCTTAAAGATAATTAAGGAATTAGCCAGATGGAAGACTGGTGGGAGGAAGGGAGATGGCTGGTACTTTCTAGGCAAAGGGAAAGGCAGTCGGAAGTCCTCAGTAAAGAATTTTGCACAGTTAAGACCCTGAAGGAAGGCGAGTGAGGATGAAGGTACGAAATGGAGCTGCAGAAACTGGCAAACACCAGATCACAATGTGGGAGAACGTGTTAAGGAGTCTGAATTCTATTTAAGTGCAATGGAAAGCTTCATGGACAGTTTTAAGCATGAAAGGGACATGATCAAATTTGCCTCAAAAAAAAAAAAAATCACTATGGCTGAGTGAAGACTTAGAGATACCCACTGCTGTCCAAATCCACCACAAATTCAGACAGTAAGACATACTGGGTTCCCAAATCACTTTGAGTTTTGTTTGGCAAATAGAGTTTGAATGGCAAAAAATTTGTCCAAAATTTTATTTGAATCTACTCAGTACAAGAGACTGAAAGTTGGGAGAGTGAGAATTTGGATCAGTTTCTGATTTGGAGAATTTCTGACCAATACAGTAAAATGAGCACATCCCAAGAAGGACCCTTTTCCAATTCACACAGACAAAAATGCTAGATACAACAGCTTCCCCATACACATCTGTTTAAAAAAAAAAAAAAAAAAAAAAACAGTTAAAAAACAAAGGTAAAATCTCCAGGTACCGACAATTTAAAAAGAAGTTAAAGTCATGGCAGTAGTAGGTGCAGTGGTGAGGTGAGGGGGTGCTGACTTTTGGATGAATCCGGTTGGATTACAACTGAACATTAGGTAAGACTCTATAGAGAGATGGAATTAAGGTCCTGGGCTCTCGTGGAGAAGCAGAAACAAACCATAAAGCAAGGATAGGACATTTTGAGAGAGAGATTGGATGAAAAACATCACAAATGAATAACAAACATCAACATTTACTGCCTTAATCTGTCACACAAGTACAATCTTATTTCCAGTCAATTTTATTTTATTTATTTATTTATTTTTAAAGATTTATTTGACAAAGAGAGAGAGGGTGCACAAGCAGGGGGAGCGGGAGAGGGAGAAGCAGCCTCCCTATTGAGCAAAGAGCCTGATGTGGTGCTTGATCCCAGGACCCTAGAATCATGACCCGAGCCAAAGGCAGATGCTTAACCAACTGAGCCACCCAGGTGCCCCTCCAGTCAATTTTAGAAAAGCACTTGCTCCATTAACAAAGACATTACCTAACAAAGGTCCAAACCTTCTGATTCAACACCAGTGTGAAAATAAAGCTATAGGGTATAAGTCTAATTTGATCCTCTAGCTGGCCATTTTATGAGCCATCTTGGGTCTATCTGGTTTGAACTGGCTTCTGTGGCTTCCTCACTTTGGAGTACCGTCAGGACAGGCCTCTGGCCCCAGAAGCTGGCCCTGGCTTCCTCTTGCCTGACTTTGAGGCATCCTGTTAGGACCTAACCAAGTGCCTATTCTCACAGCTGTAGAACACTGTGAATGCACTAAATGCCACTGACTTGTTCACTTGAAAACTGTGATTTTAATGCTATGGGAACTTCACTTCAAGACCAAAATTTGTCCAAAACAAAGGCATGGTGTTTACCTAAAAGTACTTGGCTAGCTACACATGAAACACAGCACTCTATGCTCCAGCCATCCAACAAAGACATGCAACTTCTCACAAAGAAAATGGCAAGAGAGCAAGCACGAAACAACAGAAATTCAACATTGCCAGGGAAACAGTGAGTTACACAAGAATGATACTATCTTCACTTATTTTAGCATAACACAAAAAGCATTTTTTTCTGAATGTGAAATCTGGGGAAAAACCTAATTGCTCTTTTAACAATACTTCTCATTCCACAACTCCAAAGGATCTAACTTTATGTTAATTTTTTTTTTTTAAAGATTTTATTTATTTATTTGACAGAGAGAGATCACAAGTAGGCAGAGAGGTAGGCAGAGAGAGAGAGAGGGAAGCAGGCTCCCCGCTGAGCAGAGAGCCCGATGCGGGACTCGATCCCAGGACCCTGAGATCATGACCTGAGCTGAAGGCAGCGGCTTAACCACTGAGCCACCCAGGCACCCTATGTTAATTTTTAATTTGAGATGTAAACACATAAAACTCAGATGTGACAGGAATACACTGCAGAAATTAAAGGTGAGTATCTTACCTCTGAATTCAAGTCCCCGCAGCTGGAAAGTGACCAACCCATTGCCTATCTCTATAAGGTGTACTAATGCATTGAGGTAGTCAGAGGCAAGAATGAAACAGTCTCCTGTACTGTAATTTCCCCATCGTCCTAGGAGCAAATCACCACAGAGACTGTGTTGTAGGGATCTGGTTAAATGTTCATAAAAGATGGAATTCAGATTGTTGTCATCTGATCCTATAAGAAGGAATTAAATTATGTTACATTTTACTCTAAGTCTTCATTATATCAACAAACAGGATCGTTAAAAATATTAAAACTAATTTCCAGTTAGGATTGTATCTGTATTTTTTTGACAAGGAAAATATTAACACTCTTACAATTCTTATATAAAAATGAAACACAGGGTAATGAGAAAGCTTTCAGAATTTAGAGTTAGAAGTCACATAACTTCTCGGGTCTCTGGCTCCCATTCATAATATGTGCAAACTAGATTAGATGAAATTGAAGGGTTTTCACCTCTTCAATAACCATGATCTCTTCTATCACTATTCAATGAACTCCAACTTATAATGAAAACCGCACAAGAAAAATGAAAAAGATAAAAGGAATTCAGGATTGGAACAAAAAGATACATTAATAAAGAAAGTGGGTAAAGGAATACCAAATTTGAACAAACAAGACAGTCCAAAATGAACAGAAGTTGGTTAAAAAAAAAAAGTTAAATAATAATAACAAAAACCCCTGAATATTGAGATGGCTAAAACTAGCTTAATAAAAATAAAAACATAATAAAAATTTAAAAAATAAAAATAAATTTATTAAAACTTGGTAACAATTAAAAAATAAAAAATAATATATCTATAGAAACAGCAGCAAAGAACCTATAAAATTTATTAGAGTCATCCTTCAAGAAAAAAATTAAAATAAACTAACCATTTTTAGAAGTAACCATCCAAAGCAATAATCTGTAAACAGGTGCCCACAGTATAATACTGGAGGAAAGCAAAATACACAAAGCTTATTCTTTTAAACTCAGTCTAAACAATAAAATAATGAGAAGGGTACCCCAGATACTAATTCAGTAAGATGGTCATATCTAATGCCCTGTCTGCTCATTACAGAACTGTGCATATTAATTCAGGATACGGTCTCTTTGAAAAGCAGGATGGCGTCATTAGCATCATGAGAATTCTAAGCCCCTTACACAAGGACACATTAGAGCTGAGATGGTTATTTTATCTACCAGAATGTGATAATGACAGGCGTTATTATCAAGTAACTAGTCCAATTTATAACTATAAAACTATCTGATTATTGTTAATTTAGTTTCTCAAGTATAGCAGTTGAAGGGATCAGCATTTGAAGGAATTTGACAGTCAAATGGATATAAATACTACAGTCTGGGAGTAAGATTTCTTTTAATAAATTAATACATTGGAATTCTGGTTAATTTCTTATGGTTGGATTAGTGAGATTCACTCTCTGTGTGTCCGATTACTAACAGGTGGGCAGACAAAAGGATGTTTCCGAAACAATGAAATGAAGAAACTAGACTTTAGACAATGGTACCACCACCAAAATGCCATCCACTGAAGCTCTATCTTAAGGGCTATTTGGCTGTCCCATATGACATCTCTACATTCCATAAACTAAATGAAATTAAATGAATATTTACCTAAACATCTCAGGAAGCAGGAGAAGCAAATATATTAATACACCTCTTGGTCAGACTGCATATTGTTTAATACACTTGACCAGTTTTACTTTAACTGCTCTACTTTTTAACCTATGTAAGAAAAATCTTTGAATGGCATTTTTTTATTCCTATGACTATTCTTAAAATGCATTTTATAAACGATGGGTATATACATTGTAGATACTTGAGTTCACACTTTGCTAAAGTAGAACAAGAAGCTAAGGAGATACAGTCTTTAAAAAATGACTGTTTGGAACTCAGGATTCTTAACAAGTTAGGAGTGAACTAAATACTAACAAATTCCTTGGACTTGCTTCTTTACTCATAAACAGAGCTTTTACCTGGATTTCTATCAAGCTGGGAAGCCAATCTGGTATTTGAATGATCCACCCGTTTTGTGCTGAAGAAGGCAAAACAGAACATTTTTAATAAGCTTTAATGAAAAAGGAGAAAACTGCACAATATAAATAAAATAAACATTATCACTTCATGAACATCTCTGAAAAAACTGTATGATTGGTATACTGATAAAATTCCTGGGGCGCCTGGGTGGCTCAGTGGGTTAAAGCCTCTGCCTTCAGCTCAGGTCATGATTCCGGGGTACTGGGATCCAGCCCCGCATTGGGCTCTCTGCTCAGCAGGAAGCCTGCTTCCTCCTCTCTCTGACTGCCTCTCTGCCTACTTGTAATCTCTGTCTGTCAAATAAATAAATAAAATCCTTAAAAAAAAAAAATTCCTTACAAGTGTACTTTCAGGTGGAAAGTTTTTTACTCACTCACCTCCATCATCCATAAACAGCCGTTATTTCCTAACTGATGTTTCAATGAACAGGGTGTGGAAAGACATTAATGAGTTTAATCCACCCCCCAAAATTTGATCAGGATGAAACATGCATTCTACATGCAGTTCTTAGAAATACATGAAACACTCTGCACAAGGAGAAGGTAAATTTATTATGTCCAGCTGTACAGTGTTCTTAGAACAGTGATTTCCAAAACATGGTCCACAGAATCTGAAGCAGGGGACTTAAGACCCTTTTAGGGAGTTTTCCAGATCAAAATGATTTTCATAATAACACTGAGCTGTTACTCGCTTTTTTCACTGTGTTGACGATTGCACTGATGGTGCAAAAGTAATAGGGTAAGGCTCCAGGCACTTTAACATGAATCAAGACAGTGGCACCAAACTGTATTTTTTTACTGCCACATATGTACAAGAAAAAATAAAAATTCAAGTTTTGCTTTAAAATCTCTTTAATGAAGCAATAAAAAACTAGCTTTATTAAATCACAACCCACCCCTCAGTACAGGTCTTTTTAAAATTATGTGTAACAAAATACACATAAAGCACTTTTTTTTTTTTAAGATTTTATTTATTTATTTGACAGAGAGAGATCACAAGTAGGCAGAGAGGCAGACAGAGGGGGGTGGGGAAGCAGGCTCCCTGCTGAGCAGAGAGCCTGAGGTGGGGCTTGATCCCAGGACCCTGAGACCATGACCTGAGCCAAAGGCAGAGGCTTAGCCCATTGAGCCACCCAGGCACCCCCACATAAAGCACTTCTGCTGCATTCTGAAGTAGGATGGTTGTCTCAAGGGAAGCATTCGTGTAGTTTGAACTGTAAGCTGCATTAACTCTTTTTCATGGAACACCATCTTTACTATGATTATTCAGACTGACATACTTGACAGACATTTCTCAAAAATAAAGAAAGTGGGTCTGTCCTGCTGCCAATAACAAAATTCAAGTTTCTAAGCAAAAATTTGAATTTGGAAAAATGTATATATATTTAACCAACAAGCTTGACAGCTTAGCAATACTTAAACACATTTCTTTAAAGATGGGTGGTGATATGAATGCATTTTTTAAAATTATATAATGAAATGTATCAGGATCTTGATCAAGAACTGTAAGATCTACATTACCCAGTGAACCAATATTTTTTAATGATTAATAAATGCTGTTATAAGATTATGCATGGGTAAAAAAATCCATTCGAAGTGTAAGACACATCAGTGAATTTTGATGTAACACAGTTCCAAAAATTCATGGGGCCAAGGGGAGGCCACCACAAGATGGGTCACTTGTACATGAACATTATTTTGAGCTACAAGCAATCAAGGGGCACCTGGGTGGCTCAGCCAGTTGAGTGTCTGCTTTTGGCTCAGGTGATGATTCCAGGGACCTGGAATTGAGCCCTGCATCAGGCTCCCTTCTCAGCAAGGAGCCTGTTTCTCCCTCTCCCTGTCTCTCTCCCTCTTTCTCTCTAATAAATAAATAAATAAATAAATAAGTAAATAAAATCTTCAAAATAAAAAAAAAATTAAAGCAATCAAAACCCAGTAGATTCAGGAAAAGATCTTTACCTCCCCCTCAATTGCTTGCTTGTATCTATTAATAGATTCCTCTTTACCTAAGAAACTTATCTACAGAGTGGGGCAACCTTTGTTTTCCAAACACCTCTTTTCACCTTCTTGCTATTGATCTTTCTCCCCTTTGTAACCTAAGACCCTTAGCCTTCTCCTTAGCTCACAGAAGCACCATGTTACCGGTCTTTGGAATTTCCATGTCTGTATGGATTCCCCACATGTGTACACTAAATTTGATTTTCTCCTGTTTATTTGTCTCATGTCAATTTGATTCTTAGTTGAGCTAGAAGGATCTTGAAGGGCAGAGGAAATTCTTTCTTCTTCCCCAACAATAGATGCGTTTTAGACTCTAACTGCAACTAATCTTTAGAAAACTACCACGTGTCAACTTTTAATGAAGGATCAAAGAAAAATATCCACAATTGTCTAAAAAGGCTATTAAAATACTTCTTTCTTTTCTAACTATATGTCTGCATGAGGCCAGATTTTCTTCATATACTTCAACTAAAACAACATATTTCAAGAACAGATTGGCTGCAGAAGCAGATATGAGAATCCAGCTGTCTTTTACTGAGCCAGGCATTAAAGAGATTTATAGAACTACAAAAACAGTGACACTCTTCTCACTGATTTTTTTTTTTTTTGGTGGGATAGAAAATATAGTAATTTTCATTACAAAAATATTATTTATATTAACACATAATGAATTTATTATTGCTATTTTAAACTAATAAACATTTGAATTTTTCTAAGTGATTTCTAATACAGTAACTATCTGTAGATAAAACCTGTATCAACAAAAACTTGTTGGAGACTTTAATAACTGTGAAGAGAGTAAAGGGGGGCGCCTGGGTGGCTCAGTGGGTTAAGCCTCTGCTTCAGCTTGGGTCATGATCTCAGGGTTCTGGGATCGAGTCCTGCATCGGGCTCTCTGCTCAGTGGGAAGCCTGCTTCCCCCTCTCTCTGGCTGCCTCTCTGCCTACTTGTGATCTCTGTCAAATAAATAAAATCTTAAAAAAAAAAGAGCAAGAGTAAAGGGGTCCTTTGACAAAAACTGCCACCACAGGCATTATTTTGGGCTCAATTTAAGTTAGCTGAGAAGAACAGAATATAAATAACACTGAAATTCATCGAAAAGAGAAACACCATGTGTGATTTTAGATAAAAGAGCAAAAGCTTCAAATTCCCAAGCTAGTCCATTGTTTAAATGGTGAGACTACTACTCTCACCTATTATATATGCTAATGTGTCAAAGTATAGAAAGAAAAGAAGCAGTCATGAAGATGGCCTGTAGAATTAAAAAGTAATATAAGCTCTTTCCAAATCAATATGTTGATATATGTTAAAAGGCTTAAAATGTGTAGGCTCCATGACTCAGTAATTCCGCTTTTGGATAATCTTTCTTAAATTAAAAAAAAAGAAAGAAAGAAAAAAAGAAAGGAAGGAAGAAATAAATAAATTCACCTGGAGAGATTGCATGCAGGACAGTTAGCAAGCATCATATAAAACAGCTAGCCAAAGGTACTAAATCTAAATGGACAAAATACTTTATGTACAAAAATGGATCATTAGGAAGTTATTCTCCTGAAAAGCCAGAAATAATCTACAGAAAAGTAAGCTCTGCAAATAACTATTTCTAAGAAAACTAGGAGATAACTAATTTTGACTGCCATAATGAAATGACATTGTATAGCATGAAGTTTCAGAGCAGTATTAATATGGAAGCAACTCAAAAGAAATAGCATTAAAAGAAAAAAGACAGAAAAATGAGTATACTCAACAATAACTAGGTTTTTAAAAAAATCTTTTAAAAAAAATCAAAGAGAAAATATAGAGTAGTTTTTCTGACTCTTCCAATTTTATGATTTTGAAACTTTAAGAGTATTTATAAAATAGTTTCAGCAAAATAGTTCAACACAAAAAATTGTTCGCCATGAATTATTATAATAATGCTGTTGATTGTTTTTCTTAGTAAAGAATAGATAAAATCTACTTTCAAATGTTTTATTGTACTCACTTATAGTCTCTCTCCCAGAATTTCACAGGTCGAACATACGAAGTGATGAATATTGCACTTCCCAGAAAGGGATTTAGTGGAGTAGAAAAAAAGGCAGATACAGCAGCCTGAACAAACAACATGGCTGAATCTATGAAAAAGCTGGTTAAGGATTTTAACATTCACCTGAGTGAGCACACGTGTGTGCACTCACACACACACACATCTCACAAACATACTGCAATTACAGCAACGAGAACAATGAGGTTCATCAGAGGAACACAAAAGAGGGTGTCACGGACAACAGAAGGGGGTACAAGCAGAAAGACACAGCCAGGAAACGTATACCCTGGCATGATGCTTTGAAGGGAGTCAGATAAGCATTTGCTAATATGTATTTGGTAAAAGTCCCTACACTAACTCTTGAATAAATATGTCTGGGTTTAATTTTCCGAAAGATCAAACTAAAATTTACAGATACAAGAAGTCTGCATTTCAATATCCATGTGGTCACTAACCTTTACTTTTATTTAGAAAGTACTTTTAAGAAATGATTAGAATAGGACATTTTAAACATAGTTCAAATACAATCATATGATTATGAAAAATGTTTGTATCTTCATTCATTTGAAAATATTGCTAAACAGTTTGTATTTATTTAAAATTTCCTAGACTTCAACATACATGTATACATAAAATTTTAAATCAGCATTGCTTAATCATAAAATCTTAATACTGTCCTCGTGTTCAGAGTATCTATGGGTCACAGATGTTAATATAAGTTAAATGATCAAAATCAGTACAGATGTGGACTCAAAAGATTGAGAATATTGATAATTTATCACCTAGTAACCGATCTTCTATATCTATAAAAGGTTACGCCTACAAACCGACATTCACGTCAAGGATGTGACTGCCCTTTCTTACACAACTTTTATTGGAAGGATACGGGGCACGGCAAAGGGCTGAGCAAAAGCATGGAAAGCAGAACCCCATGTAATTTGCCAGGGGGCAATGTAAGTGTATACAAACTGCAACTTATAAAGGAGTTCCCAAAGCTGTAGGAGGAAAAGGAAAACAATCAGTAAAAACCTTATCATCAGGTACTTGAATTAGAAAATGAAAGACCTCTAAAAGTTTTTTTTTTCTAATAGAAAAATGGCATTGAAGTTATGTGCCATCTGCGTAAAAGGAAAAGACATGTCAACTGCCAAAACACTAGATATATATTTAAGTAAAGACAGCAAGCTGATTTATGAGCTTGTGGTTCACCTGTTTAAACAACTCTATGCCCTCTATTGGTTATATTCCTACTACTACAAGCAAAACATAGAAAGGTAGGATCCTAATCTAGATGTTTATAAAGCTTCAGAAATTCATACATATTTTTATTCTAAGACACATTTTCCTCAAATTTTGTGTTTTGAAAACTGAGTATGTTTTTTTTAAATGCAACGTCAAAAGAAGCGTGAGAGCAGCCAGGCAGGAAATGAAGTTGGAGTACAGCTGTCAGTCAGCGCCTGTCTGCCCAAGACTGAGTAGTACGTATTAGGCGTCTGTTCTTAATTTCAATCGTGACTGTCAGTGGAAACACAACACACACTTTAACTTTACGTAAGTTAGGATTTGTTTTGTTGTTGAGCATGTCCTCGACGCCGGCTCGCCTAAACGGCTTCTGGAACTCAGGCAACGCAAGGCCCAACTCACAGAACAGACACGGGATCTTGGGGCAGGAGAGGTTCGAACTAGTTCGGTGCCATGACTCAGGCACTGAACATCTCATACTTAAATTGCTCAATCAACTGCAAAGGGACCTGTTTAACTTTCAATTTAAAAAAAGAAATTACAACTTCAACCAATTACAAAATGCAGATGAACTCTTGCATTCTTTGCCATGATTCAAAATTATGCCGGTAATCCTTGATCAGGATGTGATCAGGATAAGAGAAGTAAAAGCAGCATTTGTATTATCCAGATGCCATTGTAACTGCCTAAAGCAGTACTTTGGAAAACTAAACTTCAGGTTCTAAATGTGAACCAGACTGAACTCAAATTTTGACTGTAATGTTGAAGAAAAAATGATATGCAGTTACACAGATAAGTGGTTAGTGGGTAAAAGCACTTTTATATATATTCATAATTTTTTCTGTAAGATTATTTAACTGATGCTGCATTTTACAATGTTATCTTTTAACAATATATTAGAGATCTCTTGAAAATTATTTGCTTGCTATCATTGTTAAGTTCTATCAGCTAATCTTACATAACGCAGTCCTTAAGGGCAGAGCCTTCCCTATTTGCTCACTGATCTAGAACAGTTCTGGAGCACTGTATGCACTGAAGGACAATTTGTTTAACAAATGAAAGTATTAAGAAAATCCAAACTAATACAAATTAAGTCCATTTCAGAGATTGTTTCTATTTTATTGAAACTTTCACTTTTTTCCCAACCAGAACAAGATGCCATATAATTTTCAACCTAAATATTTAAAATTTGTGAGAGACCACATGCTTCTTTATACAAACAATTCTTTAACTTTCTGTCTTCCTCCTTTGGTTAACCAAGCTCACTAGAAGAAGAAATAAATGATAAAAATGCATACAAATTAGTGATTGAACAAATATAATACTGCAGTATTTTAGAAGCTACTTAGTACAACATTTAGCACAATATTTTGAAATTGACTATCACTAAAACCTTGTTCAGATTAATGGTTTTACATTTGTACTGTTCCCATCCTAGGTTAGACCTCTATCACATCTAAATTACTGTCACAGTCTCTTAAACTGTTCTCCGTACCTTTAGGTTCTCTCTTCCCCAATTCATCCCAAATGTGGCTGACCAGGCTAACTTGCCTAAAATTGGGCTTTCATTGTGTTTTGTAGCTGTCATATGCTTCAGCTCTCTGTTACCTATCAAATGGGATAATATATGTCAAAGTCCTTTGTATGTGGTCAGTGTTAACATGAACTCTAAATTCAATTTAACTTACAAATAATCTGACTCACAACCTATTTCATTTAGAAAGGTAATATGGTTCAGTAAAAAGATTCTTAGAAAGGGAGGCAGAAGACCCAGGTTTTGCCATCTCATTTGTAAAACGACTAAAAGTACCTCTCTTAGGGGTAGATAATAAATCTTAGAAGCGTTTTGTAATTTTCAGAATATTCTACAAATGTTAACATCAAACTAACTTCTGATTCTTCCCACACGCCCTCACTGGCCTCAGCATCTAATATCTTCATTCAGCTATCAGGTTATTTCCTCCCTCCGTCTGTCCAGGAGCCCAAAGCTCAGTTCCATTATTACCATGTCTATTTCTAAAATTATTCAAAAGCACACCCACTTTTAGAAGAGCCTAATACTTAAAAATACATAGCTAATGGTGTTTCTCTAATCTTTCTACATAACTTAATCTTATCTTCCTACCTATAACAAGAAATATGTCTTTTATGGATCATAGCGACTAGCATTATCTAGGGATTCTAAAATGCTCCTAAGTAACTGCTTGATTGAAGAAAGGTATTACTTAAAAGATAACAAAGCAAATGAAATGCAAGCAGAATCCTCACTAAACAGTGTATTACTTAGGGCGACACTTTTTACAGATAGGGATATTCCATTCAGTGATAAATTACCTTGTTGAAGAGTATGGACATGAAGAAGAGATCCAACAGCATGGTCTCTGAAAATGCTTCATAGTCAATTTTGAAAAAGAGCACAGTAAAGATGACTGTAACATACTGATACATAGGGCTGCTAAAAGAGGACCGTAGCAACTTCAGACCAGCAATGGTGATCATTAAAGCACCTAATCTATAATATAAAGAAAGCACCACTCATCAATCAATGACTGAGAACTTCAGAAAATCTATTAACTTCAGAAAAATCACCATTTCATTAGCCATGCTTACAAAATATATGTATCAAATTGTAAACGTCAGGAAATCGCATCCGAAAATAAACTACTATAGTATTTCCTTTTAACAATATGTAATATGATTCTTATTCCTTGATATAAATAAGCATGTTTAAAAAAATAAGTAACAGTACTGCAATTCTAATATATGGTTCTCCAGTTTCTGGGTATTTTTATTGCTTTACTATTGATAGCATTTGGCACGTAAAAAACATGTATTAAGGCTTACCCAACATGTACCTAGCCTAGTGGGTAGGCTTACAGGATGGCTGCACAGCCAAGTGATCAACGGCACAGCCAAGTGATCAACGATACAGCCTCATTTACACAGTACACAAAACCAGGCATCTCTCAAACTTACCATTTAAAATTAAAAATTAACTTTATTTAATAAATGTCCTCTCATAAAATATCAGTTGAGGATAAGATGTCTGGAGTGGAGATATACAAGAGCGGAAACAGATGTTCGGGCAAGGGAAGTTAAAGACACAGCATCACCTGAATTTTTTTTAATCTCACAGTGCACTGCACCAAAGAGACACTCAATTATTGCTCCTTGATCAATGTCTTAGGACATTGCTTAGGACAGCCCCTAGCAGCTGAACATAGATGAGAGGAGTATTGTACTTACTCTGTATCCAGTTTTTTTGGACTAGCAATTGTCTCTGCACTGCTACTGAGTTCATTGAGAACAATCAATGGATAGATGATATTCTTCTCCACAAAAAGAAGCCACACGTGAAGTTTCTCAAACCACATCATAGTGGCTGCATCTAACAAGGCAATGTAGGAAGATCACATCATCTACTGTGTAAAATACAGGCACACCTCATTTATTGGGCTTTACTTTATTCTACTTTCCAGATCTGCATTTTTTACAAATGGAAGCTTTATGGAAACCCCGTGCTGAGTAAGTCTATCAGCACCATTTTCCAACAGCATTTGCTCACTTCATGTCTCTCTGTCACATGTTGGTAATCCTTGCAATATTAAAACTTTTTCATTATAATTATATTTGCTATGGTGATTTATGGTCAGTGATCTTTGATGCTACTGTTGTATCTGCTTTGGGAATACATGAACTGTACCCATGTAAGAGGGCAAACTTAACCAATACTGTATGTGTTCTGACTGCTCTGCTGACCAGCTGTTCCACCATATCTCTCCCTCCTTTCAGGCTTTCCTATTCCCTAAGATTGAAATTAGGCCAACTAATAATTCTACAATGGCTACTTATAAGTGTTCAAGTGAAAGGAAGAATTACACATCTCTCATTTTTAAATCAAAAGCTGGAAATGATTAAGCCTAACAAGGAAGGTGTTAAAAGCCAAGACAGCAGCGTCTAGGTGGCTCAGTTGGTTGAGCATCTGCCTTCCGCTCAGGCGATGATCCCAGGGTCCTGGGATAAGGTTTGGTCGGGTTCCCTGTTCAGACGGGAGTCTGCTCCTCCCCTTCCTTCTGCCTCTGCCCCAACTTGTGCTCTATCAAATAAATAAATAAAATCTTTAAAAAAAAATTTTTTTTAGTTAATTAATAAAAATAATAAATAAATGCCAAGACAGGCCAAAACCTAGGCCTCTTGTGCCAAACATTAGCCAAGTTGTGACTACAAAGGAAAAGTTCTTAAAGGAAATTATGGAGGAAGTGTTTGTGGTCTGCATAGAAGATCAAACCAGTCACATTCCCTTAAGCCAAAATAATCCAGAGCAAGGCCCTAACTCTCTTCAATGCTGTGCAGGCTGAGAAAGGTGGGGAAGCTGCAGCTGAGAAGTCTGGAGAAGCCGTCTCCGTAACAACGAAGTGCCAGGTGAAGCAGCAGGTGCTGATGGAGAAGCTGCAGCAGGTTCTGCAGAAGATCCACAGAAGATAAGTAAGGAAGGAGGCTACAGATTTTCAGTGCAGACTGAACAGCCTTCTACAGCCTTCTGCTGGAAGACGATGCCACGCGGGACTTTCATAGCTAGAGAGAAGTCAACGCCTGGCTTCAAAGCTTCAAAGGCCAGGCTGATTCTCTTGTTAGGGGCTAACACAGCTGGTGACTTTCAACTGGAAGCCAGTGCTCACTGGCCATTCCAAAAATCCTCAGGCCCTTCCGAATGATGCTAACTCTACTCTGCCTGCATACTACAGATGGATCAACAAAGCCTGGATGACAGCACATCTACACATGACATAGTTTACTGAGTATTTCAAGCCCACTGCTGAGGCCGACTGCTCAGAAAAAGAGATTCCTTTCAAAAGGATGCTCTAAGCAATTTTACTAAAAAGTCCAGGAAATTTGCTTTGAGAATGCATAGTCAAGTCTGATACAGAAAGCTTTTAAAAGCTTTAGAATTCTCTGAACAATTAATCTCCAAACAATTGAGGAATTTACTGTCATAATTCACTAACTAAAGAAAAAGTCTTGGGAAAAACCACTGGCTTATTTAATCACAGATATATAATAAATGATGACATAGGAACTTTTATTATTTCTCTAAAATGAGGAAGTATGGCATACCACAGGTCACGGAGCCAATGAACAAAGACCAACTACTTAGGACAGGAAAGAAAAGTCAGGGTTTAAAATGGACCAGATTCCTGCCTCCTTCTGAGTCAGTTTATACCTTATCCCACATCTGAAGAAGTAAAAACGATTACAAGTGTTTTAAATTTCTTTTCATCTGATCTACTCTTACACCCTTCTCTAGTAGGACATAGTGTCACTGGTGGAAACAGAAACAAAGTGCTCTCTATTTCCCCTATGCTTTGAGTTAAAAATACTTCAAACAGAAGTCTTAAGGAGAACTGGATTGCCTATATATAGAAAAGAACATTTAGGGAAAAGGTAGGGACTGGAAGAGAAGCCACAGACATGCTCAGGATTCGTCAATGAGAGGTCTGTGAAGAATAGCATAGAAAGGAAGTAATTTTATTTTGTGGAAGTTAGCATTGTGGTACTGACATTTATACTTCAACTGAAATTAAAGCATCCTGCAAAAGGTCTGACTCATCAAAACTTCATATCTAAGTATAACAAACACAAGCCAAAGTGTTACTTGATGATACTTATTTAACTGTCATCTGCTAAAGTAAAAAAAAAAAATCGTAATATTAAAAAGAGCACAGTTAACAAAATACTTACTCCGAACTTCGTACTGGTTGTACTCCACTGTCTTCAGCAGAGGGTGGGAGAAGCAGTGCCATGGCAGCTGTTTTCTAAGCTGAGGCAGCACATAATGGGTTACAAAACCCACGAAGCCGACCAATGCATACAACACATACTTGAGAGCAGGCTAAAAGCAGAATAAAATTAAGAAAATTAAAAGTGATTTTGAGATTTATAGGAACTTCTAATTTGTCAGTTCAATCTTCCAATTATTAATAGAAAATAGCTAAGTGAATTTTTGAATCTAAGAACCAAACATCTGTCAACAGTTAACACTGCTTTCTTATGTGGTTTTTCCAAAACTTGTTGCCCTATATGATCCAAAGGTACAGAAGAAGTGGTGGTATGTCACATCTGACATCAGTTATAAAGGACTGATGCTTCTGTCCTGGGCTTTCTCTCTCTAGGACCACTGGCTCTGGGGAAAACCAGCTACCACTTTGTGTGGATACTCGAGCAGCCTATGGCGAGGGCCACATGGAGAGGAACTCAGATCTCTGGCCAACGGTCAGCAAAGAACTAAGGCCTGCCTCAGCTGATGGCAGCCCCATGACTGCAGCATCATAATGCAGCCTGAACTGGGATAATCTAGCTAAGCTACAGATTCATAACCCAGAGAAACCATGAGAAAATAAATATTTGTTGTTAAAACTAAACAAACAGAAAGTCATGTATTTCAGCATTACTGACAAATATTACAGTCAAACAAAAAATGAGTCGAAACAGTTATTTTCCCCCATCCAAAGATCAAAATTCTTTACCTGCAACACTGTGAACACGGTGCTTACATGAATAGCAAAATACAGCACACCAATTACGGTGCACACTACTAGGTCAGACTGTAAACGCTCACTCTGTGGAGCAAAACAGAATTATCCAACAATTACATAAAATTTAAAAATACATATTTCTTTTATTCCCACTAACAAGGAAATAATTTTTCATTGATCCTATTCTTCTAGATAGTTTTTATATGTAATAATTGGCCATTAATTTTTTCTTTCCCAATTTCCTGATATTTTGGTTTGAAACTGCAATATCAAGGAAATGAAACTAGTTCTACGCACTGTATAACATATTAAAACAAAGCCTTTTATTTGTTTTATTTTAAAAGATTTTATTTTTAAAGTAATCTCTATACCCACTGTGGGGCTTGAACTCACAACCCTGACATAAGGAGTCCTATGTTCTACTGACTAAGCCAGCCAGATGACCCATAACAAAGTCTTTTAGAATGAAGATTACTCTGTAAATTTGATTTTTTACATATGGGAAAAGGAAATGAGGTACTTAAGTTACTATACCAGTTATAGGGGATATTCTTTTGGATAACAAAGTTATATTTTCATTGATTTTTTTTAAGATGTTGAAACTGCATGTCCTATTTTACTTACTAGATTTTGATTCTTTTAGTGGTTGTAGTAAATCAAAAATGTCTCAATATCTTGACTGGTCATCAACTGACCCACAGATTTATGCTAATTTTAAGCTACATTTAGAAATCTCTTACCACATTTAACATGAAATGTCCTTGCTAACATGGAAACTAAAATCAGAAAAAATTGTTTGAATTCTATCCTGAAGCAGTTTTGTATTTCTAAAGTTTCTGAGAATACGTGAAGAGCTCAAGTTCAGTAAAGGTAAATATTATGACTAATTCAAGACCCATATAAATGGGAGTTTTTCACAAGTAGAAATAATCTAAAGTAACTTAGAAAAAAAAAACTTTTATGCTTTGTTCCATAAAGCAGATATAAATCTATAAAATTAATTTTTCAAATAATTACTAAAAGAATACAGACAACATTGAATTTACTAAACTAGAAAACTTAAATTGCTACATTTTCTTAAATATATTAAATTAATACAGATAACAGCTCTCTTCTTCAATCTGAAAAATAAACACACATACAATTTTCGGATTGCCCTAGAGGAATAAAACACACTAAAACATTAGCTGATGATTTAAAAGGACATAGTTTTATCAACAAGAACAATAACAAAAAACAATTTATGTTAAAATATGCATCTTTCAAATCCTAGTTTAAACTGATTAGGATTAAGAATTCTATAAACAATGAAATTACTTCATTTTACCTACTCAGAAAATGAATGTTTAGCATACTTTTTACAAAGAAACAACCTTTGAGAAATGAGCATTTCTTAACAGGTTAAAATTTGACATAAAGGCAGTCAATAATATACACCTGTTCACACATTTTCCCCAATTTCGAAAGGCCTTCATTATATAAAATGATGAACTGTCTAAAATTTACATCTTTCAGGTGACTGTAAAAGCTAAAACTTACAACAGAATTTCTAAGTTTTTCAGGCAGTGGATCTTTTACTTCAGACAGAGGGTCTTCTGGATTTTTCTCTTCTGTTTTTGGAAAAATCTTGGATTGCACCAAAGAGCTTTAAATTAAATAAAGAAAAAGAAAGAAAAAGAATTAGTAAAAAATATGTTCATAACCTGATAACCTGTACTTCAAATGACAAATGAAGTTTATGATAAAAAATCAAGTGTTCCAGGGGCACCTGGGTGGTATAGTCGGTTAAGCATCCAACTCTTGGTTTCTGCTCAGGTCCTGACCTCAGGGTCCTGAGATCAAGCCCCATGTTGGGCTCCCACACTCAGCGAGGAGTCTGCTTGAGATTCTCTCTCCCTCTGCCCCTCCCACTCATGCACGTGTGCTCACTCACTCTCTCACTCTCTAAAATAAATCTTTTTAAAAAAAATCAAGCATTCCAAGTATAAACTTAGCAAATTATAATGTCTAAAGAGTTTACAATGCTATAAATAAGCATACAAAGAGCATATTTTTTACTAAAATATATTTTTAATACCTCTTAAGAGAGAAAATACAAATATTCCCAGCCAAACTGATTAGAATGATCCAAAATTAATATATTTGAAACCCAATATAGATTAAGTCAACAGCACTTTGACAAGGGAGTGGGAAAACAGATTTTGAAAGTTAAATTTGAAAGAAATGTGAACTTACTTAAACTTCTTTAATCCAATAACAATTGATTTCACTTACAAAAGTACAGATGGATCACTGCTTTGTCGGCTGAGATGATAGGATATTGCCACTAACAAGCCACAAAAAACGGAGAAAAGTACTGGAATATGCTGGCCATCCCAGGAATCCTATTGGGAAAAAAGTTTCATAGAACAATATTCATCTTTTTTATCATCTATCATATAATTCTTTTATGTCAGTATTTTAGAGGAAGATAAATTTACCAAAAACTTTTAGCCATATTACTAATTGTATTTTGTTCCAGATAAATTTAGAGTTACTACTTTTTGATGAGCTAGAATCTAACTACTAGATCATCTTCAGATTTATTTTGGTACTAAAGCTGTATTTATATGCTAAGGATAATACATTTGCTTCCGATAACATGCTGCTGTCAATTTCTTTTTATTTCAAGTGATATAAGGTTTATGGTAAACTACATTCTCCTTTTAGAAAATCAAATAACTTGGTTGATTCTACCTAATAATGGAATAGGGAAAAGGCAACACATGGTACAACACATTAGATAAAACATAAGAGACATTGCTGTGCTTTTATCCTGATACCCTTGCTCATACATAATATGCCATTATTTCACAGTCTTCCAGAAAATTGTGTAGGCATTCTGTGCTCTTGAGTAATGAACTGCATATTCTCCAAAAGAAATAATGCAAAGGCTAGCTTCCAAAGCCAACCAAACATGTGGATGTGGATATGTCATGTAATGTGTGCTCACTGCAATATTTCTGGAGTCTACTAGCATGGTGCTTGATAAAAGAGTAGATAATACTGATGAAAGGAATAGTCAGTAGTTCTTAAGTATGGCCAGTAAGTAAATAGCATTCTATTCCTTCTTCTTTCTCTGGGGTTCAAGAAGGGAAAATGAGAAGTGTAAGAATCCCAATAATAGTTTATTACATATTTTGCGTTTCTTTGCCTTTATTTTTTTTTTAAATAATGAAGTCTTCAAAATTGTTACACATCACAACATAGAGACATTTTTGTAATGGCTACATCAAAATATCATTATCATCACACTGAACACTATGTGTCAAGCCCCATTCTTAGCTCTTTGCTAAGTATTTCCTAAATTAATTATTAAGATCATCCTTGGAGATATGTACTATTACTCCCCAATTTATAGATGAGAAACTCAGGCACAAAAGGGTTCAAGTAATTTGTTCAATTAGGTGGTGGAGCCAGGAACTGAACCACCTGATGTCTGGATTTACTGAGAAGGAAGTTAAACAATACAGGAGTTTGAGAATGAAAGAGAGATAAACATAGAAGGAAAAAAGTAAAAGAGAAAATAAAATGTATGTTGGAATACCATTTGCACAGTGATAATAAGGGAAACATATCAGGCTTATGAGAGAGACAAGGAATACCATGTGTGGTTTGACATGTGCGGCGAGAGATTAAATAAAGTTAAGCCTACAACTTCCATAAAGCACGGTCCACAGATAATGCATAAAACTTGACAAAATATAAGAAGTATAAGTCAGTTACTTAGACACCAGGAGGCAAATACCAAAAGAATCAACTCAAAGAACTGAAAATGGTAACTCTTTTTTTTTTTAAGATTTTTATTTATTTATTTTGACAGAAATTACAAGTAGGCAGAGAGAGGAAGGGAAGCAGGCCCCCCGCTGAGCAGAGGGCCCGATGCGGGGCTCGATCCCAGGACCCTGGGGTCATGACCTGAGCCGAAGGCAGAGGCTTTAACCCACTGAGCCACCCAGGCGCCCCTGAAAGTGGTAACTCTAGGGAAGGGATAAAGAGGTAGGAGATGGTTGTTTCCGGTGATAAGTCCTATAGAAATATTTGATTCTTTGAAAGATATACATGTACAACTTAAGTAAACATGAAAACTAATAAAAAGATGTCCAGAACAGCTGCTTTAGAAAACTGGCAATTCCATTTCCGGGATTTACCCAAGTAAAATTAAAACATATGTGTGTTCATTGCAGCTTTATTCACACTATTCCTAAACTCCAGGGGTGCCTGGGTGGTTGAGTCTGTTAAGTTTTTGCCTTCAGCTCAGGTGGTGATCCCAGGGTCCTGGAATAGAGCTCCAAGTCTGGCTCCCTGCTCAGTGGGGAGGCCTGCCTCTCCCTTTCCCTCTGCTCCTTCCTGCTGCTTGTGCTGGCTCTCTGTGTCCATAAATAAATAAATAAAATCTTAATAAAAAAATATTCCTAAACTCTGAACAACTCAGATGTTCCCCTCAAGGACAGCAGAGAAGCTGACGTACGCATACAACGGGAGTAGGAACGATCTACAACTAAATGGGGTATTTTCCTGCAATTCGAATCTCGAAACATTATATTGAACAAGATACATCAGTTACAAAAGAGGCATGATTCTATTTATATGAAGTTCAAGAACCCCAAATGGTAAAAGTGGTTGGGGCGGGGGGGGGGGACTGAAAAAAGGAACATGAGGGAAATTTCTTGTGGTAATGGAACTACATTTTGAGAAGGATATGTATTACCCAGGTATATGCATTTGTTAAAACTTCTCAAATTTGTGATTAAGTTACATGGATTTCACTTCATATAAATTTTTCCTCAATTAAAACAAAACAAGGGTTTGGAGAAAACTAAAGATTACTGCCTTTATCTGACAAAAGTTTGACACTACTTTTTATTGCTCTCAGACAAAGGAAAAGCATTCTAAATTGATCTCAAAATCACATACTTAGATCAATAATTTATAATGATCACATACTCAAAATAACTCAGGAATATTTAAAAGTATTAACTACAACCTTTATTGAATCACTAACCAAAAAGTAAAAGCAAAACAAACCCAACCAGCTCTGAGTTTTCAGTGAACTCTGATTCAGAAGTGGGAGAAAATTTAGTAACTATAAAAAACAAAAGGGAAGTGAACCTACTTCAAAAGATTAAAAGATGGGTCTGGTTCTACCCACTGTAGTGGGTTTGAACATTTTCTCTTTACTCTGTAATGGCCCAAATTCTAGCAATCTCTTAAATATATGAAAACATTAGAAAGTATACACACATTACTAGAATGCATTGAAGTTATTTAAAAAAAAATTTAGCTTTTAATGAGCCAGCAAGGTCAAGGAAAAATGAAAGAGTAAACACAAGGAAAGCAGAAATCAAGAAATAATAAATGTAAAAGTCTGTATTAGTAAACAGATTAAAAAAAAAACAAACATTCCTAATGGTATGTAATAATGTCTCCCAATGCATCTAGCTGCCCAGAAGTAACTACAGTTATTAATGTCTTGCATAGTCTTCCAGCATTATTCTATGTATATACAAGCCATTGGAGGTATTTCAGAAACAAAAACAAAAGCAAAAGCACAAAGGAAACATCCATTTTGGGGAATTATTACCTTCCTTTTTATTAAAACACACACACACGAAAATGTGATACATATATATGTGTGTGTATACACACACACACACACACACACACACACCCCACAGGAGTATTACTCAACCTTAAAAAGGAAGGAAATCTTGTCATTTGTAACAACATGGATGAAACTGGATGGCATTTTGCTAACTGAAGTAAGCTGGACAAAAGACAAGCAATGAGTAGTATCACATATACATGAATTTTTTTTTTAAAGGAAAAAAGTTGAATTCATAGAAACAGGAATAGAAAAGTAGCTTCCAGGAACTGGGAGGTGTGGGAAATAGGGAAAGGTTGGTAAAAGAGATAAGAATATAAACTTTCAATTAAGGTCTAGCTGGGGGGTGTGAGAAATGAAGACAGCATTGCTTATTTGAAAGCTGCTAGGAGAAATACATTAAAAGTTCTCATCAGATACAAACTCAAAAAACTTTGTAACTGTGTGCTGAACAATGCTGACTTATTGTGATCATTTCACAATACATATAAATATCAAATTATGTTGTGCATCTGAAACTAATAATATGTCAAATTATACTCAATTAAAATTTTAAATAAACTTAAAAGTTTTTTTAAAAGGATGAATAAGGTCTGAGGATCTAACGTGTAACATAATGGTTATGGCTGATGACACTGTACTGTATAACTGAAATTTGCTCAAAGAGTAGAACTTAAATGCTCTCACCAAAACAAAACAAAAGAAAATGTGAGGTGATAAATGTATTAACTTGATGAGGAGAAGAATCCTTTCACAGTGAATCAAATCATCACATATACTTTTAATATCTTATCATTTTGTTGATTATACTTCAATAAATCTTGGAAAAAAACACATTTTGTCTTGAAAATCATTCCACATTAGCACATAAAAATGTTCTAAATCTGTAGATTTATTGTAATGGGTGATATCAAAAACTAAAATAGTGTAATGGAACACCATAACCAACAAAAGAGGAAAATAACCTATCTTCCTGCCTGCCTTAGGATACAAGGTTCTGTTTGGCAGTTTTATAACTGCTGTTCTGCTACTAGATAATTAGAGTTAAACAGCCCTTTGTACACGGGGCTAGAAAACTTATTGCATGGTTAACATCTATGATTTCAACTTCCAAATAATCTCTCAATTTCCAAAACATGACTTCTGTAAGCTAGGATGGTTTACAGGTGGTGAACTTGGAAGAAACTTGCACTTGGATCTCCTTGCTTCCAATTTCCTCCTGGACTTAGCTCCATCAAGTATCTCCCTCTCTACTGGATTTCCTGCTCTTCTTTTAGATCCAATCAAGTATCAAATCTTTTTTTTTTTTTTTAAGATTTTTTATTTATTTATTTGACAGACAGAGATCACAGGTAGGCAAAGAGGCAGGCAGAGAGAGAGAGGAGGAAGCAGGCTCCCCGCCGAGCAGAGAGCCCAATACGGGGCTCGATCCCAGGACCCCGAGATCATGACCTGAGCTGAAGGCAGAGGCTTTAACCCACTGAGCCACCCAGGCGCCCTAGTATCAAATCTTTTTAAAAAATAAAAACCTGAAAACAATCCCCATTGTGTACATGTTTAGAAAGCTTATCTTATATTTCCTTAATATTTATTCAAACCCAGCCTTAAATTAATCTAGCTTCCTCAGCCAAAACACCAGAAAGCTGTTTTGTTGAAGTCACCAATAACCTGTTAACCGCCAAATTCAATAAAAAGTTTTTTCAGACAATCCTGCCTCTGAAATTTCCTTTGTGAGACTCTGTTCTATCCATCACTTAAATACTTGTATTTCCCAGCGATCTACCTGTAACCATTTCCTCTTGTCAGTCCAGGTTAGTAGTCTTTTACTTACACTTTCATTTAGTTGATGAATCCTAAATCTTTTAATCATTACCTCAAGCCTTTCTACATATAACTACCTAGTATGCATCTCTGGATACCCCATAAAATCCTCAAATGAGGGGCACCTGGGTGGCTCAGTGAGTTAAACCCTCTGCCTTCGGCTCGGGTCATGATCTCAGGGTCCTGGGATCTGAGTCCCGCATCAGGCTCTCTGCTTTGTGGAAAGCCTGCTTCCCCCTCTCTCTCTGTCTGCCTCTCTGCCTGCTTGTGATCTCTGTCAAATAAATAAATAAAATCTTAAAAAAAAATCATCAAATGAATGTATCCGTCTGTAAACAACCACCCTCTTCACTGATCTCAAAGACTTCCAATCAGAGGCACTAGTATCACTATTTAACCAGCTGTTCAAGGCAGAGTCTACCTAGAAGTCATGCTGGACCATCTTCTGGCTTTTCTCTCTTTATCCATAGAGTCCCCAAATATTTTCACTGAACCCAATTTTAGCTAGGTCCCTCATAATTTCAAGATTGTAATACAACTCATTCCACTGCTGATCCTTCCCACCTATATTTCAATGTCCTTTCACACCAGAGACCAAGTAGTCTTTCTGAAACACACACTGATCATTTCTTTACCTTACCTCAAATATTCCAAAGGTCTTTAAAAAAAGAATATTATGATGGTTTTCCATCTCCACCCAATACGCTCAGGGTGAGGTATTTCATAATCTAGCCACTGCTTATCTTTGCAGCCTTACTGAAGGCCATCTTTCCTCATGCACCCAAGCCTCCAGCAATTCCAAATTAGTGGCTGTTTCCTATATGCACATTATCTTGACAACTCCATGGCTCTCCATCCCTTGTTTCAACTAGCTGATTTCTATTTGTCTGTCAAATACTGGTTAAAAAGCTACCCCTTGGAAACTTATCTTTACTCCCTCTTGGCTAAATAAGGTGATGACTTATATACCTGTACCACTCCATTTTCACAGCCTTCATCATCCTCTGCTGAAAGTGCTGGCTGACTTATTTAATCACAGCTAACAGACAAGCAACTTAAAAGCAGGAAATAGTGTTTAGCACAGTCCTGGGAACACAGCAAACACTCCCTAAATGTTACTGAATAAATGATGCAAAAGAGGATGCTGTAAGCCACTTCTCTTAGTCCTTTCAACCCTATCATTCTCTGACTGTCTTGCATTAATGATAAAAATAGGGCGGCTGGGTGGCTCAGTCATTAAACGTCTGCGTTCGGCTCAGGTCATGATCTCAGGGTCCTGGGGTTGAGGCCCACATAGGGTACCCGGCTCAGGAAGCCTGCTTCTCCCTCTGCCCCTCCCCTGGTTGTGTTCCCTCTCTCTCCGTATCTCTCTCAGTTAAATAAATAAATAAAATCCTTAAAAAATAGTAATAAAAAATAAAAATAATAATAATAGGCGCTAAGAGTTGTTCGCAAGAAATTTAAAATTTTTATGTTTACAACTTGGTGGCAATCTTTTTAACATGGAGTGAATTAAGGCTCATCCAGATCCTTCTAAGCCAATAACAACATTAGATTTCAGTGCATTAATTTTTACTAGAATGTATCTTAAATTGCAGTCCTTGCACTTGTATTCACACGTCTTAAGATATCTTGATGTGGGGGCGCCTGGGTGGCTCAGTGGGTTAAAGCCTCTGCCTTTGGCTCGGGTCATGATCTCAGAGTGCTGGGATTGAGCCCCGCATCGGGCTCTCTGTTCAGCGGGGAGCCTGCTTCCCCCTCTACCTCTGCCTGCTGCTCTGCCTACTTGCGACCTCTCTCCCTGTGTCAAATAAATAAATAAAATCTTTAAAAAAAAAAAAAAAGATATCTTGATGTGAATAGCAGTTATACATATCCTTAAGTAAAAATCTAAGATTAATTTCATATTCTATTACTACCATGACCACCTCTACCCCAGACAACCTTTTTTAATAATCTGTTTCTAATATTAACCTATGATTACTACTACATGGAAAAGGATTTACTTTTAATAATGGCTAACCATGAAACTGCTTTTAAATTCAAAGTAAATGAGAATGATAATAATGTTCAGTACACAAAGATCATGGAAATCAGTGCTAAAATGGCTACAGGGAGAATGCGGGAATGGGAGCTTAAATCATTATTAGTCAATTTAAAACAATCTTCATATAGAAAAATAGCCTTAAAGACAAAACTGTACCATAATGTACTGTTACCTTTAAAGCGCCATAACACAATCCGTACAGTAAGGCAACTGCCACAATGCTGCAGATAAAACTGTAAAGTGCTGCAAGCAAGCTTGTAGTGGCTGGACAGGAAAAGGGGGGAAAAAATAATATTTTATATACATTTATGGAAAAAACACATCTTAAAAGTATTTAAAATGCTATAATATTAACTACAATGAAATATGTACTCATTTGACTTTAAAAAATTCAGTTATGTCAAATTCAGTTACATCATCCTGTCCTTTGAAAAGATTCTGAAATGACAAAGGTTCGCTACCCACAATTTTTGACGAAAGACAAAATATATGCACCTTGTAAGTAATGAACATTTATACATAGCAGAAAAACCTGTATCTATATTATGCTTTGAGACTGCACCTTCTTATTACGGGAAAATGAAGCTGGCAGAGACCTGAGAGATGTGTTACGTACTCATCAAAAGACGCTGGGCTCTGTAAACAGAACCTACATTACCCAAAGAAGTAAATTTCTATTACCATGTGTCAATTAATTCTCACAAAGTACAGATCTAATTACTAACAACAACAAAAAAATAGATCCACCTCAAAACTTGACAGCTACAAACAAAAGAATCAAACTGTAACATTTTCTTAGACCACACACAAAAATATGCTCAAGATGGATTAAAAATTTACAATATAAGACATGAAACCATAAAACTTTTAAAAGAAAACACAGACAGTAATGCCTTAGACATCAGCCTTAGCAATATTTTCCTGGATCTGTCTCCTCAAGCAAAGGAAACAAAAGCAAAAAAAACAATCGGGACTACATCAAACTCAAAAAGCTTTTGCAGAGTGCAGGAAACTAAGAACAAAACAAAAAGGCAACCTACTGAATGGAAGAAGGTATCTGCAAATGACACATCCGATAAAGGGTTAACATCCAAAATATCTAAAAAAAACTCATATGCCTCAACATGGGCAAAAACCATAAGTAAGCTGATAAGATGTACAGAAGACCTTAAAAGACATTTTTCTAAAGAAGGTATATAGATGGCCAAAAGACATTCAACATCACTGATCATCAAGGAAATGCAAATCAAAACCACGATCAGGTATCAGCTCATACCAGCGTGGCTACCATCAAAAAGACAAGGAGTAACAAGTGTTGGCAAGGATGTGGAGAAAAGGGAACACTCATACAACCTGTTCATGGGAATGTAAATTGGTGCAGCCTCTAAGGAAAATAGTATGGAAGTTCTTCAAAAAAATTAAAAATGGAACTACCATATGATCCAGTTAATTCCATTTCTGGTTATTTACGCAAAAAGAATGAAAACACTAATTCAAAAAGATACATGCACTCCTATGTTTATCGCAGCATTATTTGTAATGGTCAAGACATGGAAGCAAGGTAAGTGTCCATCAAAAGATGAAGAGATAAAGACTCAGCCACAAACAAGACTGAAATACTGCCACTTGCAGCAACATGGATGGACCGACAGGGCATTAACCTAAGTGAAATAGGTCAGACAAAAAAAGACAAATACCATATGATTTCACTCACATGTAGAATCTAAAAAACAAAAACAGAAACAGACACACAAACATGTAACAAACTGGTGGCTGAGAACCGGGGCGGGGCTGGCAAGATAGGTGAAAGGGATAAAGAGACAAACTTCCAGTTATAAAATAAATAAATCACAGAATGTAAAGTATAACATAGGGAATACAGTCAGTAATACTGTAATAACTTTGAAGAGTGACAGATGATAACTACACCTACAGGGGTAAGCATTTTTTTAATGTATGAAATTACTGAATCGCTATGTCATATACCTGAAACTAATATAATACTGTATGCCAACATCAACTACACTTCAATAAAAGATAAAAAAAAATTTTTTAATTCTATTCTTACAAGTGGGAAAAAAGCAGATTCAATGGGATTACTAATAATAAGGACTAGGGGACAGCTAAAACAACTCTCCTTTATTTTTAAAATATGGATAACAGATTCTGTTCATAGTAATTTTATATGATAACCATGAAAAAAAACCTACAGGAAAAAATCTTCTTTAGGAGGTTTTAAAAAACTAGTATCTTGCACAAGTTTTTAACAATATATGATGAAGCTCACTATTATAAATTACCTACCCTAAGTACCCTCCGTCCCTAAATACTGAAAAGTCTTCTACCCATTAAGCTATGCTAAATTTAGACCAGCCCAGTCTTCATTCATTCCCCTTCAAAACTTTTCAAAACACAGAGATACTTCTAAAAATCTTATTTAGGATAATACTTTTACTAAAAGCATCTGGTTTTGGTGTTTCCATTCTAAAGAAATAACAGTGCTCTGAAACCACATTCAGAGACATATCAAATACACATACTAGTTCAAAATCCAAATATAATGCTACGTATCAGGGGTCAATCTATTTGGGATATATAACATTTGTAAATATTTCATAAGTCTATGAAGACACCATCTAAACTCACTACAACTTTTAGTTTTAGGCAACAGTACTTGATCATTTCTTATAAAGTAACTCCATTATTCCTGGATCTTTCAATAAAAGTGGCAGACTTGACTACTTCTTCCTATCTACAAAGTAATTCCTGCTCAGTCTTTAATTATTAAATAATTTCCTTTTTCTTTCTAATTTCAATTCTACTGTTAAGGTATTTTAATGTTACTTTATTACTTAATAATCTGTAAAAGTAATACTAGAATCTGTAATTTTTAAAAGGAACTACTCACCATTACCACCAAAGATATGAATATCCAATTGCTCACAAAGGTACATTACAAATGTATTCACCTGAGGCAGGAGACCAATGAAAAATACTATTGGGAAACAGAGTGTAAACACTACAGAAGAAAAGAAAGGCATATTAAAAACATTTACACAACATCTATCCTTTTGTTCATTTTAAGATCATATGTGATAAAAAAAAATCCAAAATGAATATAAACTGGTAAGCAATTTTTTAAAAAAACATCTTAAATTATTTCTATGTAATTGCTTGGGTATTAAATAATTTTTTCAATGATAAAGAATAGCTTTTAAAATTACATCAATCATTTTCACATAATAGTTATCTGAGATACAGAATCCAAAGGAAAATTTCCATCACATCTGCTTTGAGAACAGAAGAATTACTATAATATTTATTCATCATTAACTTTTTTCATTCAAATAGTTTTGTTCCTCACTGAGAGGATTACAATAAATAGCAAAGTAAGCCTATTAAAACCATTTTTAACTATATAATTGATCTATTTATTAGGGAACTATTTGTGTACAAATAAATTAACGTAAAGATCTGAAACACTTCAAAGATGACTCACCTATAACTAAATCCCTGGCTGATATAAACACCAGTGGATTAGTGAAAGTTATTCCATATAATTTGAACTTGGTTGTAGTAAGGTTTCTGCTACCATAATCCAAGAGCCAAATAAGACCACAACACAAACAGAAATAAACTGGTCTACTGTAGGCAATGATACGATTATGGCCCTGAAAATATTTAAAAAAGAAAGTCAGGTTAGTTGATTTTAAGACTCACAACTAGCTACTGAGTTCTTTGATAGCTTATATTCTAAGGATTCAAAAATGTATCTATGTGGAAGCCAAGCTGCTAACTGTGGCAGAAGGAAATCACAAATATGGGAAGGAATAAGAACAGACTGAACCCTGTGACCCTGGCCTGACGTTAGAGGTATCAATATGAACTTTTCATTTTTAATACACACACAAATTGATAGAGGATGTGTGTACACACGTATGCACGCACATATGTATATACACAAATATATTTCCTAGCTTTAGCCATTGAGAGGACCTAGGAGCAACAACATTCTAGAATAAAGATTACTAGCCTCAAGATCTTAGTTTATAAGTAACACTACTGACTAAAAAAACTCAGGCCTTCACAGAGAAAAGGCTGGTTTTGGCCTAGGGTAGGGAAAGTATATATAGATGAGCCTGGAATGTACTATTGTGAAAAGGAACGAAGTACTTAAAAGACTGATAAGGATATGGCAAAAGGACAGAGAGGGCAGCTTGGTGGGCTCCCAGTGGCCAAATCAGAGATAATTCGTGCCTGAAAATAAACATTAGTAATATTATAGTCCACTGAATAAAATATGAATCCATACCAATACAAATAAGTAAATACAGAAAGAAAAGTTCTTCCGTACAGTTAGAAGTCAACTAACAAATGTGGAAGGAATGATGAACTAGAAAACCAACTATTTGGCAACCATCAAATGATAACTGATTCAGGCAAGTAATATCCATAGATTTTTACTGAAAACAAGTAGGTGGAAGTTTACAGGGCAAGGGGACATATATGAAATCCCCAAATAGCTCCCTACCAGACACTTACTAACTCCAGGAGAAATATGGTAACATTACAATAATTAGTGGTTCTCAAGGGAGTGGGAGGGAATTTTGCCCCCTAGAGGACAATTGGCAATGTCTAAAGACATGCTGGTTGTCACAACTCAGGAGTGTGCTACTGGCATCTAGTGGATGGAGGTCAGAGATAATGTTAAACATCCTATAATGTATGGGACAGCATCCCTTCTCACATAGATTCTCAACAAAGAAGTGTCCAGCCTCAAACGTTAATACTGCGGAGTTTGAAAAACCCTGCAGATACTACCCTCAGCCAAAAATGAAAGTTAACATCACCAATAAAAGGATGAATCAACATCACATGCTTCCTGAAATGACACACTGAGAAAAACACACCACTTTCATAATTTTCCTTCCAAAAAAGCATATCCTGTATCTAATCAAGAAGAAAACATCAGACAAACTCAAATTAAGGGATGGTCTACAAAATAAATGCCATGTACCCATCAAAAGTGTCAATATTGTGAAAGACACATAGGGAGGAACTGCTCCAGATTAAAGGAGGCTAAAAATAGTAAACGCATAATCCAACTGAGTCAACAGGAAATGCCTGAGTAAGATCTGCAGATTAGAAAATAGTATTCTATCAATGTTCAATGTCCTCTGATTTTAATAATTATATTGAAATTGTAAAGGAATGCCTCTGTTTCTAGGAAAATACATGGGTGTATTTAGAGGTAAAGGGGCACTGTGTTTACAATCCACTCTCAGAAAAGCGTGTGTGGAATGGACAGGGTGGGGCAGGGGTGGTGGAAAAAACTAGGAAGGGAATAGGCAAATATGGTAAATGTTCACACAGGGATCTGGGTGAATGGCATCAAGAATTCTTTGCGCAAGCCTTGCGACTTTTCAAATTATGTCAAAATTTGAAGTTTAAAATTTGAAGTAAAAAAAAAAAGCTGCCATATATCATACACTTCAAAAGCATTCAAAAGCATATTAAACAATCAGTTGAAAGAAAATAATTTGCTTCCATGTTCTGTTTTGCTCATCCACAGTCACTATTAAGTATTCCAGTGTATGCGTAATTATATTCAAGAAAGAAGGCATCATCATAAACTGTTTTTGGAGTCTGTTTTTGCACTATTTTAAAGAGAATGCCCTTTAGTCTATTAAATAAATACTCTATGTTGAGTTCTAAAATTGGATCACACTTCATAAAAAATACCATTAGCAGCTAATACTCTTTCCAAAGTCACAAAGTGAATAATAAGGTTTTTAATCTCTTTAGTGTCCACAGGTCTAAACACGAGATCAATTTATTCCTTCTTTATTCTTGCTCTTAATGATTACCTAAGCAAGAGAATGTACAGTTCTCCTTACTTCAAAATTCTGTTTTTCAATACTTAGTCATGATTTATTCTTCAAACTTTGTTAAATTTAAGTTATTAAATAACTATGAGTTTATATGAACCATGTCTACTTCATTGGTAACCTCCTCTTGAAACAGGCTGTCAAAAAATGAATTATTATGCTCATTTTCAACTGAGACTTAGATTCCACAATTAGAATGCCATTTTATTTCACACTAATAAATCACCTCTCTTTCTAGTAGAGAGTCAAAACTTAGATGAGAAAATAATAACATAAATCTTAATTCAATCTGACATATGACCAAAAGAAGGTTTCGATGAATGTTAGAGAATTATAAGTTACAGGCATATTAGAGTGACTTACATGTCTGGGAGAAGAAGAATCTGGTTGAACACTCTAAAAATGAAACAAAAGACAGATTATCCTACTGAGGTCCTGGTAACTTTATAAGCAACTTTCAAAATGCCGGAAATAATTTCAAGTAAAATAATTCCATAGCTAAGAAGTGACCTACATTAAACTTGCTGAAATAACAGAAGATGAAACTCCAGATACTGGTGTCACTGTGTTATCAAAGAGATCTCAAATCTTTCCTGACTCTTAAGTTTACTATGATTAATTAAAAATTTGCAAATAGCTTAACCCTTCTGAAATCGTATATGGTAGGTAGTCTATCTTACTCCTTGGCTCATTACTACATATAAGTATAGTTGAAGTAGGATGCTTTCTTATATGATACCATTCCATTCAGGATATGCACAAAATATGGGTTAGTTTATAAGAAGAATTCTAGTTCAGCTCACAAATTCCAAGGCTTACTAAATAACTCAATAGTATTTGTATTAAACTTATTATCTGAATTTTCACATCAAAATCTTCAAGTTAAGCTGTCTCCCTGTAAGAGATTTTATCAACTTTCTTTAAAAGCATTCAAAAGGTATTTTGTAGCCACTTCCCAAATGATGACTTTTCTCCCAAGTTCCAGCTCATTTCTAACAGCATACCAAACAATTTCATTAGGATGGTCTATGACCACCCTACAAGTCTATGATGGACCAGCTCAGTGAGTCTGGCATGTGACCCTTGGCTGGATAAGACCAGGTAAGCTCTAAACTCAATTCCAACATCTGGCCTCTAAAAACTTCTGGTCCAGTCCTTCTTCTGTTAATGGTATTACCATTCTTCTAGTCAACTAGATTTTTTTAAATCTAAAAAAGAAATTTTGAATTTCAGTCATCTTTCACCTTTCAGTTTCTAACCAGATTAGCCTAAGTGGACAAAACTAACGGGACAAGAGACTGAAGCAAAGGAATGAATTTAAATAGTTTATGGTAATAAAAGAGATGGATTATAGTGGTTGGAATAGAAAGAATGAAAGCTAGAAATTTTGACAAAGAATCACCAAATTTAATCAAAGGGACCTATTATTATTATAAGAAATACAAATATATAAATATATATTTATATATATAACTATAATTATTATTTGTTATTGGGGTCGAGAAGTAAGGAACAGAGAGGCTTTAGGATTTTGAGTCAATATACTACTGTCAAAAGCAAAGGAACTAGGAAAGAAAAATATTTATCAGAAGATGACGATGTGCTATTTTTAAAATGTGCCAAACTGCCTGTTAGGTACATAGGACTAAAGCTTGCGAGAAAAATGAAGACTTTGAGATATAAATCTGGACATGATTCATACATAGGGGCAACTAATAAAGTAATAAAAGAGGGTGACTTCATTGGCAAGGAGTTGCAAGCTGAAAAGAGGGCCAAAAAAAAAACCCTAAAAAATTCTTATAAACTAAGAAGTTGTCCAAAGACCAAAGAGGCATCAACAAAGGAAATTAAAAAGTTATCTGAAAAGTAGGAAAATCATCAGCATAGCATAAAGGCAGATCAAAAATGAGGATTGTATAAAAAGAGAAGACAGTATTCATAGGTACTAAATGATACAGCACTCACAAAGAATGAAAAATGAAATAGGACACAGATTTGGCTATTGGAGATTATTAGCCCATAAAGACTATAATTTCAGTACTGCAATGAGGAAAAAAGCATGGATGGGTCTTGAAGAAATGGAGTTGACACAAGTAGTTTTTCTGGATGTGTCTCTATAAACAGAGAAAGGACAGCTAATAGTACGAAAAGAACTAAGCAAATAGTTTTCAGGATAGGGGAGAGTTCTGCATGTTAGCATATACTGGGCAAATAACCAATACAGGCAAGGGTTTTTACTAGCGCAGAAGAAAAAGGAAACAGTCAACATTAACAGTCCATATTGATTTTGCATGGAAGGTGAAAAATTAGGTATTTGATTTTTTCCCTTTGTAGAAAGCTTAAAATTAATAACATTTGGCTACTGTTTAAATAGCAAAGGGATATCCATCTTCTGCTTTCAGTGTCCCCAAGAACATATATACTAGCCTTGCCATTACTATATCTAACCAATGATTGATTTTAATAAATTTAATCTACAGAATAGAAGGCTTAAAATATGGGAGTGGGAAAGATGATGTTCATATTTTTTAAACAAATTTCAAGAATGCTGGGGTGCCTGGGTGGCTCAGTCGGTTAAGTGGCTGCGTTAGGCTCAGTTCATGATCCCAGGGTCATGGGATCTAGCCCTGCATCAGGCTCCTTGCTCAGTGGGGAGCCTGCTTCTCCCCTGACTGCCGTTCCCCCTGCTTGCGCTTGCTCTCTCTGTGTCAAACAAGTGGAATCTTTAAAAAAATAAAATAAAAATTTCAAGCATGTTAATTCTCATTTTTAATAAATGCCCAAATATTTTAATACCAGCCCCCCAAAATAGTTCTTAGGAAGCTTCATTTACATATCCTTATTTTTTAAAGTTTTTATGTCCCCTTTGTTCCCTAGCCAATCTAATATAAACATCTAGGGAAAATAAATCTAAAAATTAACAGCTTACTATAATGCAACGAATTATACAAAACATCTGCTTTTTAACACAAATATTATTCCCTATTCTGAAAAGAAGAGTGATGCTGGTACCTTAAGTAGTGAGTATTGACAGCTGGCTATCACTAGGCAGAACTGGAAGACCCAGATATCTCTGAAGAAGCCTTGTATGAGAAGAATAGATCCCAAAAAAGCCACAAGAATAGCCAGGATGACAGCTAACACATTTTCCAGAATTTCACGATTTCTGTAGACAGAAAAATTTACAAATAAGTATATCATCAATATAAGAAACGAGAGTGAAAAAAGGGAAGACATCATGAGGAAGTTCATACTATGCTTGCTGACATGCTTTTCTTGTACTGGTTTTGAATAAGGTTTTAGCACATACTGAAAAAGAAACTAGTTTATATTTAAAATTAACAAAAAACCTTATGTGGAGATAAAGCGTGCTATAGTAAGTGAAGTTCTAATTAAAGACATAATATTAGTTTTAATTTCTGTTTCAAAAGTTTACTCTTAACATCTGCTTTTTTGTAACATTTGTTGCATAATAACTAAGAAACCAACTTGAAAAGGACATATGCAAAGAAACACGTTTAAAAAACAAAATCTCAAGTTTCTAGAAAATTAAAATGAGAAGTTATTTTATATGACAAAGTTTGTAACCAAATTTTGATAACAAGTGATTTCATTTTCCGCATCTTGAAACCATCTGAAATAACGTCAAAACTAATTCACTAGAATTACTTAAATATAGGCTATTGCATATATTGAAAATGAAGGCAGTAATAAAAAACCATCAGTGTTGTCTCTATCAAAGCTGCTGAGACAGTTCTGTATTTTATTAAACTGAGTAAATTAAACAATGTGATGACCCATATACCAATGAAGATGATTTTTTGTCATACCAAAAAATAAGAATCTATCTCATTACTTCTTGGGGAAATTTTATTCATAAAATGCTGGATACTTGCTAAAAGTCTTGTTTTTAAAAAACATTTACCAACATGGAAACATGCTCAGTGTATGTGCTATATAAAGAAAGCAGGGCATAAAACGGTATGCATAGGAAGATTAAATTTGTTATTTAGAAGCATACACACATAGGTTAAAAAAAGACAATATATCAAAATGATACTACTACTAATGTTCTCTCTGGGTAGAAGAATTATGGTTGGCCTCTTCTTATCTTAAAAATCTTCCTATACATTTTTAAATTTTCTAGACTAGGTAAAGAATTATTTTCACAATTCATAACTTGTTTTTTTAAAAATTTTAAACTTTTTAAATTAAGTTGTTGTTTTTTATTAACTTGCTTTTTATTAACTTGCTTTTTCATTAAGTCAATGCCATCTTCATAATCATCAATTGACCTAATTCACAAACATCTGTGTACTAATTCATTTTATAGTCTTCTTGGATGAAAACAAGTTCAACAGTACTTTCAAACCAATACACTGGCACTCTCATTCGTTCTTTTGTTGCAGCTGCAGAAGTCCAGATCCGTCAAGTCCAGTGCCCACCAGCAGTTCTGCCGCATCACACACTGTCTGTAGTTCTCATCACTGAACATGTGCTCCCCTTACACTTCTGTAGTTTTTAATTTTTGATGAATTCGGTTTATCAACTTTGTTTACTGTTTTTGCTGTCACATCTACAAAATTTTGCCTACCCTATGTCACAAAAATTTCCTCTTACTGTTTTGTTTGGTTCAAGGAATTTTATTGCTTTAGATTTTAATTTAGACCTATAATCCATTTTGAGTTAATTTTCATAGTTTTCTAATATGGTGCAATATAAGTATAAAAGTTTTTTTTTCACATGAAAATCGAATGGTCCCTAGACTATTCGTTGAAAAGCCTACATTTCTCTACCTAACTGATTTGAGATATTATTTTGATGCCATTTAGGCCTAGAGTTTTCTTCATAAGCAGGTGTTTAACTATAATTTCCATTTAATAGATACAGTAGAGTTAAGGTAATGTATCTTTCAGAATGAACTATGATGATTTCTACCTTTCAAGAAATCTGTCCATTGTCAAACTTACTTACATGTAGCAGATCATGATATCCTCTTATAACACCCGTAGAATCTGTAGTGATATCCTATCTCATTCCTGTTATAAGCAAACTGAATCTTGTCTCTTCTCTTCTTTTCCCCCCTTAATCAGCCTGACTACAGTTTCATTAATTTAATTGAACTGCCCCTCTCCCCACTTGCACTCTGCTTCTCTCTGGCTCTCTAAAATAAATAAAATAAAATATCTTTCATGTCTTAACTTTTTTAACATACAGAGTACAAATATAGTTGTTTCAATGTCTTTGACAGCTAATTCTAACATCTGTGACAATTACAGGTTGGTTTCGATTGATTCATTATTTCTCTCATAAATCATGTTTAACTGTTTCTTGGCATGTTTGGTAATCTTTGGTTGGATGTCGTGGGGGATCCTTTGATTGGATGCCACTGTGAACATTTTTGGTCAAGACAATTTTCAGATTTCTATAAATTTTCTTCAAACTTTGTTTTGCTACTTGGAAACAACAGTCTGATGATTTTAGGTCTTGCTTTTACAACTTGTTTGGTGAGTCTGCAGCAGTGCCTATGTTAGGGCTAATTATTCCCCACTTTTTACGCAAGACTTTCCTGAGTACACAATACACCATAAAAATACGAATTACGAGTTTCTTCAATCAGACAGGTGGAAATAGGCACTATTCCTATCCCTGTGTGTCAGGCACTGTCCATCTACTTCTTTCACATGATTCTTACCCTGGCCTCAGGTAGTTTCTTCACATACATTCACTTATCCGTACTCTGCTGAAGAGTTGTAGAGACCCACTGCGGAACTGAGGTTCTCTCTGTGAACAGCAGTCCTCTCTCTGATACTCTGTCCTCGCTGTGTTGGGTCTCCCTGTACTCATAGCCCTGTCTCCTCAACTCAGGAAGTCTGCTGGGCTCCACTTCAGTACCTTCTCCCTATGTCGGAGCCAGCGAGGAAGACAGGGAATTCTCTTAAGGCAGTAAGCTGGGGCAACTGTAGGACCCACAAAATGCATTTCCCATCTCTCAGGAATCACTGTCCTTTGCCGTCTTATCTCCAAAGCCTTAAAAACCACTGGTTCAGGCATTTTGTCTTTTTTTGTTGTTTCAGATAGGAGAGTAAATCCAATCTTTGTTACTCCAGTCTATAGGAAGCACCAAGTTGTAATAGACTAATACTTTTCATTATTAAGACTAGTACTATGAAATAGGGAAAGAGAAGTTTCCTCTTATACCTCTTATATTTAGAGTCATATTACTTATAACCTTATGATCATTAACACTTCATATTCTCTGGCTTTTAAGTATAGTTCCATGATTCCTACTGAGGATAAAAAGGATTTTTTTTTAATAAACATACTAAAATTGCCACAAAAAAGTTTTTAATGGATTTAGGAGAGTCAACGTTTGGGAGCTCTATTAACTTTTACCTCAAAAGAACCAAAATAGAAAATATTTTCCAAAATGATAACCAAGTAAAAGCCTCAATGGGTAATTAGGTTCATTTCAATTTAAAAATAAAATCTACACATATCTTTAATATCACACTGAATTCTCACCTATCAAACAGGGCCAAAAGTGTGAGTCTGTCAAAGTTAATGCCGATCCACAGCTGGGGTAAGACCCAGAAGCGGTAATAGTGTTTGACCTTTTGAGCAGCTTCTTCTGTTGGACCGTAAGTAGCTGCCAAGTCAGGGCTTAGATCGATGTCTTGTTGCTCCAGCAAATCTGTATCGATGGTCAATAGTCTGTTCAATCGAATCTGCGGAAGAGAGAGCTAAAATAAAGTCAGCGCTGAAAGCCTCAAAATATCTTTAGTTAAGTCATGATTCAAGGGCTACTCAATCAGCTTGATCAGATGATCTAAGTCCCCTTAATTCTCTACACTTCTAGATATTTTATGATCATTAGAAACTACAAAAGGTGATAATGGGAAGTAAAGCAAATTAGTCAATCAGTCCTTTGGAAAAGCTGTATTGGGGAAAGTGTTTGCAATCTTAACACTGTGTGATTGTAGAGCTAGGGAATCCATTAAAATCACTTAATGTGAATCATTAGTGGCTTCTCTAAGCCCTGTCACTATGGCCTTTTCTCAAAGCTATAAACTTCATTACCGTGCTCAACCTAAGCTCCTCTGAATTGGATTTGAAGCCTTCAATTCTCATGTCTTCCTACAGTCTCTTATCACTGTTGTTTTCAATTCCCTCCTACGCCCCCATTTTTTCTTTTGTTTTGGCAGGCTACTCTTGGAGACTATACAGGAAATTACCACATTACATTTCATTTTGCTTTAATTCACTCAGCAGTTCACCAGTTTCCCCTTTCTCTGAAGGAGTCTAAAGTTTTCCTTATCTAGCACAACCCTAGCCAGGATTTCACTATCCCAAGGTTTCCATACCATTCAATAGTAGAAAAAACAACAAAAAAAACACAATCATTTCCCTATTTTTGGCTCTCCTATGAAGTTTCCAGGAATATACTCCAGCAAAAAAGCAGAGACAATCTTTACTTATCAAACACATATGTGGTTATAGTCAAGAAAATCTGCTTCCTATAAATAACATAGATATTTTTAACTCTAAGCATTGACAAGTACCTCCCCAGACACTTTTTTTCTTATCCTCTATGCCAAGGTTTCTTAACCTTGGCACTACAGGTATTTTCAGTCAGATAATTCCTTGTTTGGGGGTTGTACTGTCCACTGCAGGATGTTTTATGGTATCCCTGGTTTCTATCCATTCACAAGACACCAGTAACATTCCCCTAGCTGTGACAAGTTAAAGTGTTCTCAGACATTGCCAAATGCTGAAAACCATTATTCTATGCCAGCTCACATCTATGGTCTTAAAACACAGCTCACAACTAAATCTTCTTCAGGAAGCCACTAATAATTAACCTCTTTGGCACTACACCTATTTATAGGTATTGCTTATGTGTTTCATATAAGAATTTCATTTTATATGTTAACTAATTGAATCGAACTAAAATAAGTTAAGAAAATAATTTCATTTGTTTTGTCTTTTCTAAGTTCAATATATACATCTTGAGGGCAAAAGCAGTGTTATCTAAAACAGCCCTACCATATCTCACATGATATACTTTTTACACAGTGATATCATCACTAAGCTTCACACAAACACATGGTATGAGTAAATAATAATTAAGAATTAGAAAATATAATATTCAAAATTGTACTTTTCAAAGGGAAGTTTTAAGATGGCACAACCAGATTATGACATCGGTGAGCAAATGGACCTTTACATATTCTCAAAAGTGTAATTACTGATTCATACACAGCTTAGGAAACTTCATGGGGTTTTATGTTTGTTTCCTAACAAAGGACTTACAAGAAGAGATCCACTACGGAACAGCAAAGGTGATTTTGCCATAGTTTTCAACAAAATTGGTATTTTATAACTTCAACTTTTCTGATTTGCATCGCTACTTAATCTGAATGTACATCATCTTATAAAAATAAAGGAAAACCTACCACATCATGTGGATAAAATCGAACTGAGGTAGAACTGGATACATGAGAATCCGTGTCACTAAAATAAAATTTAAAAATCTTTAGGGACTAAAGAACTTTTCAAGGAATTGAAAGAAAAATAATCTTTTAACAATTATATGATATTTACACTGTATTCGCTTTTCCAAGTACTTCAACATACAAAATAGCATTTTCCTACATATGTGATTAAGAGCACAGCTTCTGGGCCAAAGTATTTATATTAAAAATCTCTTCATCAGCTAAATGATATTTGGGAAAGTTATCTAACCTTTTACACCTCAGTGTCCACCTAAGTAACATAGGATAATAGAACCTCTTATCACAAAGTCCCTGTGAGATGGGTTTATGAAGGCAATTAACATATTGCCTGGAGCCACAACAAACTTATTTCCACTGTTCCATCTTTCTATTGTTTCCACTGTTAGGAAATCACCTCACACTCCAATTTTTGGTCATTCTCGACAGGGTCAGTTTTGAAACTGGATTCAAGAAGCTTAGCAAGTATGTTCTGTCTCTCCAGCGAGTTAAGCTAAGTGACTGCAAGATCCTAGAGCTTTAAATAGCCCCTAGAAACTTTTAAAAAAGTAAGTGAATTGCCCATAGATGTGTAACATTTAAATAGGTGTGTCCCATTATTAAATACAAGTCCTAAAATAGGATTCAAATGATCCCTGTGAAAAAAGTGAGCTAATCACTTAATAATGGATTTCAAGGCAACAACTTGAATAGGTGAGAAAGATTAAAATTTTAGAAAAAACTTTAATACATTCTAAGTTATAACTGACTGCATGCTCAAGATTTCTATTTCTTATTTGCTCTTCTCCTAACTTCTTCCTTATCTCATAATGTCATTTCTTTGTAAGGGAAGGAGAGGAAAAAAAAACTAAATGTAACACACGACCCATATTTTAAGAAATTCCTCTTTCTTATAGCTGGTAAGCAAATTTTAAAGCAAAAGAAAAGAAGGTCAGGTAAAAAGATATTTGACCAAAACACTTACACAGAAATAAAATTTTTAAATTACATAAAGAGAACTGATGGGCTTGAACTTAGTTGTGTATTTCCTAATAAGCCTTTTTAAAATATGCTTTTTTATTGATCTTGCAAAGTGCATGCGTGTGGGTAGCACAAAATCTATAGTTAAATTCGAAATTGTGGGAAACTACTACCCCCCACTATAAGACCTACAGGGAATTTTTACTTAATTATTTAAAATACAGAACAGCTTTTGTTTTAAGAATAATGCTTTCTTTTTTCCAGAGCAATAAATTCTACCTTGTATCTTTGGAGACAAATGCCCAGTGACAAATTACTTAAGCCAATATGAACAAATATTTTCAAGATAGCTTTCCCATTTCAAGGCCTAAAAGCAAGGCAAATATATGCACGTACATATATTCTCCTACTATGACTTCACACATACCAGATATTGGATGCTCTTCTTGCTGCTGGTTCAAAATTCACAAGTGACATATCACAGCCACCAGTCTCATAAAGCGTAGAAGAGAACTTACCTAGCAAATAAATGATTTTTTTAAAAAAAACATTAGAATACTCAGAATTTTTCCATCAGGAAACACTACACTTCAAACTTGTCACAACGTAAGAAAATGTACTATAAACTTTCCCCCAAATATGTGAAAAACAATGATCTGCCTGTAATTCAGCATGATGTGAACTGAAAAGGAATGCAGAACAGTGGGGCAAAATGTCAACGTACACAATCAGGTTTTAACAGTAAGGGAATGAAGTCAGCTTTGCAATCGGGTCTCCTCTTGTCTCCTCACGGGACATTCACAGTTGAAGCAATCACATGAATGAACTTAATGTCGTTTAAAAGGCACCTGACCGCTCTGCAAGTGGTGAGTGGTCATTTGGAAAGCTGCTTAAGTGTTAAGATGGCCCAAAACTATGAGACAACAAATTTCTGAGATTACCTTCAGAGAGTTTTGTTTTTTATTTTTCCCTTCTTTGTTTTTTTAAATAGTTAAACACAGCGTAATATTAATTTCAGGTGCAGAATTCACTGAGTCATCACCTACAACACCCAGTGTTCATCACAAGTGCCCTCCTTAATACCCGTTATGTTTGGTTTTTCAGGAAAAAATTAGGCGTCAAAATGAATCTAAGGAAGTTCTATGAATGGAGTATAATAACATTGGTGAAAATTAAATTGCAGTATTTAATGAACATTACTAATTGCATGAATCTGTAAGAACTTCATGAAAAAATTTAGTAACACCGTTTGCTGAAAATGATAAAAGGTTTATAAATTACATTGGGTGCAGAAAACTCTTAAAATGAACTCAATTAAGATAAAATGGTTTCTCCTAGTGAAATTTAAAAATCTGGAGAGTGTCTGAAATGCATTCTTTACCTTGACAACCCATGGGGGCCCTATCAGAGGTAAGGAGCGTAAAGAAATGAATATGTAAGTTTCCAGTAGGGCAATAAGATGAGGTATATGACTGCAACCATTGGGGACTACTCCAGGCTGCTTCTGATTATTTTTTACTGATCTTATAAATATGATGAATCTTAAGGGCAATTTCAACTACATGGCAGGGCTAAAAGATCTCTCTTAGATGACTACAATGTAAACACGGTATAAAATAAAGACTTTTATTTAATGAAATCCTTGAAAAGTAACAACAGACCCCTTAATATACTAACTATAACTAAGGATTGCAGAATATTTCAACAATCACTTCATTCTTTAAAAGGATTAGAAATTGGAAAGTATTAAATAAGATTGAGTACTTTCTATGGGTCAGACAGAATATGCAAATATTTTATTATGATTTTTCTGTAGCAGCAATTTCTTTGTCAGAATAATATACTCCTGAGACAAGTGAGGAAAAAAGCATTCTGTGAAATGTCTTCTTCATTTGCTGTTTTTCCAAAGAGGATTATTCAGCATGTGGATTTGCTAAAACTCCGCTTTTTACAACCCCCACATGCCACCCTCATCCTTTAGTCATGAATCATTCACTCTTAGCACCTCTAACACAAACCAGATTCATGAACTAAAATGAAATAATAAAAGCTGTCCATTTGGCTCGTTAGGTGTCTTACTGAAAAACTTTTAAGGTGATTAAGGTGGCTGCAGAAATTGTTAGTGAAGAAAAAAATTTAAAAAAAAAAATACTGGCTTGACTGAGATTTCAAAATTATTTTTAAATTATAATGTTTTAGGCTGTGCCCTCTCTTACAATGGAAAATGAAAAATTGGCTGTGCTACTATAATTAGCTTACAATAATAGAAAAAAGAAACATCTGATCAAAATCACAGATTGCATAAATGCAGAATAATTATAAATCCATGTAAATGACTAAATCACAGAGTAACAGAGAGCTGACAGGGGTTGGCTACTATGTGTGAAATCCAGTAAGAATTGAATGGATTAAAAAATAGGTCTTTATATCACCTAATTTGTGTGTATTTTTAGAAATAACTTAATACTATATTCAAGAGAATTTAAATTATTGGAATATATTCTGAGTAATTAGGCACTGTATCAGATTTTTAATAATAGAAGTCTTCTTTGAGGAATACTGAGTATGATAAATGTTTATATGCAACTGAAACTGATTAAAGATATTATTTTTTCTAATATTCAAATGGAACCGGAAAAGAACATTAAGTCATTATACAACTGTATTATCTTTTATGTACAGACATCTCCTATGAAACAGAGTTGCACTTTAAGTTAATAGAAACATAAAAATAAAGCATGCCCTCCCAAAAGCTCTTTAGATAAAGAAAGCTGGAAAAACTGAGTAGTTATAGTACTATAAATCTAGAACTCTGAATGCTTCTTTACAAACCAACGACTAACAAGTTATAAATTTTGGAAATTTAAACAAAGCATAAAATATATCTATGAAAAGGGAGGCTATAATCTTAACAAATGGCTTCAATCGTGCTTTTTTTTTTTCCTAAGAAGCTTTTGTTTACATACTAACTTTATGAACACGCTCAGGTCAGAACAAGCTAACACTGTATTAAGGCTTCATGCTCTATTCCTAATAAAAATCCACCAAAAGAATAGATTCTCTGCATCTTTGGAAAGTAGGATCACTTCAAAAGAAACAAATTTTATTCAGAGCATAAACAATTCAGGAAAAATTATACTAAAAAGTGTTTAGCTTAAGGTTTCAGTGAAAAACTTAGTAATATCTTAAGGTATAATAATCTATTAAAAGCATCTTCAAAAACAACCAAAACATAAAGAAGCATATATTACCACTGGTTTATAAAGATTAAGAATATACTAAATTTGTACAAATTTCCTTAGCATACATAACAATTTTACATATATCTCATTTAAGATTAAAATCATAATGTAGTTATCCTTTAGGTCCAAAGTGAAATGTGCTTTTAATTAATAATCCTACTTTTATTCTGTGTTAAGACTATTAATTTTTTTCTAATTAATATAAATTGAGGAGGATATCAATGAAATATGCCCTCACATGAATTATGATTAAACACGAAGTCATCTTACCATATCCAACTCCCAGGTCATAATTAATTATATCTAACAGAATGGTTTTGTCATAATTTCAAGAAAACAGTTACTTTCTGACAAAATAAACAAGATTGGAGGCTGGAATTTCAGGCTTAATGGTACTGGCCATGAGAGAGCATCTCTAGAAATAAAGAAAAAAAATTAAGGTACCTGGTATTTCTCAGTTTTGAACATTTGATTGCTATTGCCTAAAAAAATCACATTTCATAACACAAAACCATTTTTTTTAGGCAGGAGAATTTCAAATAAGTGATGAACAACAGGAAGATGAGTAAAATTAAGATACTGATTTAAAGAAAAGGACACTTGAAACATCTCCCTGAAGCCACGAATGGTGCAGCAGACAAAATACATACGGGCAAGACCCTGATAAAAGGCATGAGAAAGCAATGGGATCCTCTAACTCATCCTTTCAATAAAATTCCTTGCTACATGGCACAAACTGTATAAAGATTGCTCAGATAGGAAACCACTAATGCATTCTTGATGTTACTCATTTTACTTATGTACTTTGGAAAGAGGTAGTTACTAAGACAGATCATCTGTAGGATTTTTCTAATCCTTCCAGGTCCAACAACAAAGGAGGCCTCTTAAATTTCTTGATTTCCTTCTTTGGATCCCCTTTCCACCTCCGTTAATTCTGCATCCTCTAAGCCTAATCTTGGCACACTGTTAAACGAGCTCTCGCTTTCCTAGTATTAACTCTTAAGACAGGCAGGAGCTACAAGAGCAAAGCCAGACACAAGAAAGGCAGCTTTATAAAGTGCTTTTTCGAAGGCTATCGGCGGGTGTGCTCGCTTCAGTGTGGCACACATACTAGAAGGCTGCTGGAGGAACACCCATCTCCATGACTCACTTAAGTACTCTAGAAAAAGTGCTTATTTCTGATGTGAGGAGTCCTCTGTTCACAATGCTACTTCAATGAACACATTATTCTACTTTTAAGAGCAAGACCTTTAAGACTAGTTTCCTGGATAGCTGCCCCCTTATCATCATGAATGGTACCTACGAGTCCCTAAGGAAACACGAGTTTTCACGCTGACAGAAAGGAATCTTTCTGTTGCTGCTTATGGGTTAACAGACTTGTTTCTCCACAGACCAGTGGTCAGCACACTTTTTCTACAGCAGGTCAGAAAATAAATACCTTAGGCTGTGCAGGCCATATGGTCAGATGTAATTCAAGACTGCCACTGCAGCATGGAAGCAGCCACAGAAAACATGTAATATATATTTACTTTATTTCATTTATAAAAATAAATGAATGGCTGAATGGATTTACCCCCCAGGCCATAGTTTGCCGCCCCTGTCCACCACCAAAAGCCTTTGGCTTCCAAAAACCTTTTAAACTATTGTACTACCAGGGTAATCAAGTCACTATGCTATTTGTAATTGAAAGTTTCAATACTGAGAAACAGTCCTTCTTCCTGGGATGTTCAACACTGTGCTAGGTTTTTCAAACAGGAGAAAAATTAGGAAAGAGCAGGAAGAGGCCTGGTACGGAAAGACAGAGGTCTCTACTGCTTGGCAACAGTAAAATAGATTTATTCGCCGACATATTTTACTGACATGGCCATTATCCTCTAGTTCTGACTCAACACCACATGCCTTAATTCATTAAGTCTCCCCTCTCACTGCCTAATCCCCAGGGTCAGGTGAACCTTCCAAAAGTGAATGTACAAGTTCATATTCTGCTATGATTTCATCATCTGCTCACATTTTCTTTCAAAGAGATGTCTTCCTTTTCTTGGTAAAACCTACAACATGACAATACTGACAACATTACAAATGATCGGGTACACAAAAAGGCACGACACAGGATGGGAGAAAATATTTGTAATTTGTATCTAACAAATTTTATCTTAAATACCAAAAAAAATGATACCTCAATAATGACCCAATTTTAAAAGTGAGCACAAGATTTGGACACACTTCATGAAAGAAGATATATGTATAACCAAATAACACATCAAAAGATGCCCATC